GCGGCTCGGTTCTGGCGGCGCGGCTCGGCTCGGGCGGATCTACGCGGCACCGCGCGACGGTGGGCGTGCGCGTGGGCGGCTGTAGTGGGCGGGCCGTGGCTGTGCGTGGGCCTGACTCGCGCTCAAACGGCGGCCTGGTGGGGCGACGCGGCGGCCTATGGGCGGGGCTGCAACGCTCTGGGCGGCTAGGACGGCCGGTCGACGGGCGGCTAGCGGGCTGCTCGTGGGCAGTGCTGGTCGCGCGGGCGGCTAGGGGTCGGCGCACGCGCAGAAAAAGCCGCGCGCGGGCTGCTAGCGGGCTACACGCGCTAAAAAAAGAGGCCACGCGCTGCACTAGCGAGCTGCGCACGGGCAGCAGGAGAAGGAGAGGCGCACGAGGGCGCACTAGGAGAGAGGCGCTCGAGGGCGCTACTTCATTAAGGCGCTCGAGGGCGCTTCTAGCGGAGAAGGTGGGCCCTTAGGTAAGCGTTCCTAGGTCTAACCTACGCTCTTAAGACCATGTCAGAAACAAGAAGTGATTGAAACTATGAAACATTGGAGTACAAGTATGAAACCCTAGAGTTGTGTACCCCCTAAAGGCTAACCCAGTATAGCCTACACAGCAATAACATATATATAATGTTTGACACATGCCATTCCCTATGGGTTTTAGTTTATTTTGCCAGTGGGTTGTTTGTCGTTTTGTCGTCTCTCTCATTCAGTTGAGATATACTAGCCTGACTTGGCACCACTGCGACGGTAGAGAACGTACTCGATCGTCGTCGCGCACATGCAAAGTGGGTGCGCACATGCGCTACTGTCACATGCGGATGCAACGCTGGCAGACCGCTCTGCTGCAGCGTTGGCAAGCCGCCTTGTCGACCTGCTCTGTTGGCAGGCTGCATTTCTGTAGTGCTGGCGCGGTGCCTCTACGCAATGCTGGCAGATGGTGGACTTTGCCGCGCTGTAAGTCGACCTGCCTGTCTGCTAGGTTGCTAGGCTCTGATGTAGTCATTCTAGCTATCGCTTGTTCAATCAATATGTAATTCCAACTTTCCTAATGAAACTCTTGCCAAAACTTGGTGTGATGCACAAGCGCTAGGGAACGCCAAGGAACGCTACAGTCATTCCTCGAACCCGTGCTTTCCCCCGTAATCCACCTCCCGGTAAAGTGTGACTCTCCGCTCTGCCGCCACCAGATGGGGCACTAGTGTTGTCACATATGCATGGGGCCTGCCAAAACCTCCTTCCGCAAACCCCAATCGAGGCGAATGGGGTCCACCGACACTTCCACCTGGAGTCCCCTTCAAAGGTGGATAGGGAGCCTCAACGACAACACATGGCTGGGGACCACCAGCGCCGTTCCCTGAAGCAGTTCATATCTTATCTTTCGATTCCTTGGTTATATCAACAGTTCAAATCACGATAACAAATGTTTGTATTTTTCTAGTTTCTCTTTTTGTAACCACCACTCCAAACATTTTATCGAATAGCCTACTCCCTTACCAGATTCAGTCATTGAAATCCCTTTGATATCATTTTTTTCCAATAACTATTTAAGTTCACTAAATATAATTATTTACAGCACGTGCATCATGGAAAAATAGACCGTACCTAAACGGCCCGAATTGATAAGCGACACACCACAACAGCTCAACACCCTGACCTAGGGAGAAAAGATCATGCTCTTTACAGCCCATGTTCCTTTCCACCTTCGCCACCAAACCCCACCCCCCCCCCCCCCCCCCCCCCCACCCCCTCCCTTTCACCCTCCCCTATCCAGGGCTATTTTTATTAGAGTGATTACTATGAGTACTCGAAGTGACTCTCCGCTCTGCCGCCACCAGATGGAGCATTAGTCACATGCGCATGTGGCCTGCCATAACCTCGTTCCGCAAACCCTGATCGAGGCAGATGGGGTCCATCGACACTTCCACCAGGAGTCCCCTTCAAAGGTGGATGGGGAACCTCAGCGACAACACCTGGGTGGGGACTACCAGCGCCGTTGCCTGAAGCAGTTCCTATCCTATCCTTTGATTCTTTGGTTACATCAACAGTTCATATCACGATAACAAATGTTTGTTTTTTCCTGTTTCTCTTTTTGTAACCAATCTTCCAAACGCTTTATCGAATAGCCTGCGCTCTTACCAGAAGCAGATATCGAAATCCATACGATATCATTTTTTTTCAACAACTGTATAAGTTCAATATATATAACTATGTACAGAACACACACCATGGAGAAATAGACCGTACCTAAACAACCCGAATTGATGAACGACACTCCACAACAGCTCAACACCCCGCCCTAGGGATAAAATATCATGCTCTTCACAGCCCATGTTCCTTTCCACCCTCCCCACCAAACCCCACCCCCCCCACCCTTTCACCCTCCCCCACCGATGGCTATTTTTATCAGAGTAATTACTCTGATTACTGTGAGATTTCATACAACTGAACTGTCCGAAACTGATTTTTCAGATGAAGTCATTTCTGAACACTGATCCAATGAGACTATACATTTATTCTTCCCTGTATTTTTTTCCATAGGCTCAGACTTATCTGTTTCACGAGCCCGACTTAACAAAGTAAGGTTCTGTCAGAAGTAGTAGGAGTACGGCCTAGGCTTAGTAGCCTAGGCCACAGTAGGACTAGTAACGAGGAGCCAAGTACGAGCTAGGAATGTGTGTACGAACAGAATTGAGAAGGAATGATGGAACTAGCAAGCAGCAGGATACAAATGGCAAACCCTAAGGGGCTGTACTCACTATAGAGTACCCCACTGCAGGCTACACAAACAACATATTCTGACAGGTTCATGTGGTCCCTGAAACAGACCTTATCGGAACAAAACTTCTAGAAAGCTTTGCCTCGATAAGTTCCCGTCTGTTTCTTCTTGATAATACCCATTCTCGACCCCCTACGCAAGCCCAACCGACATGATGTACAGTGCACAACAGTTTGAAAACCTACCCCTCCTCCTCGTAGCTTACGAAACTCTCGCTCTCTCCACTTGCACCCAAAGCAAGTTACCAGTGCCACCAGCTCAAACCAACCAACCCCCTTTGCGCGGCCCACTCACGTCATCGATTCTTTCGCATGGACCCTAAAAAATGGCAACCCTATTTCATTTCGCCAACCCTGAGAGTCCAGCGATGTTTTTTGTGAACACTGACCACGACAATAATGCCCATACTTGCCGTTTTGCATAAAATGTGCCTTCAGAGTAATTTTGTTTTTTGAGAGGTTGAAATCAGAGTTGTCATATTTGAAACGCCAGCCTTGCCCCCACCCCCTCAGATCTGTGCATCCGACAAATACGGGGCCTCAACCCCCTATCCTCCCTCTCCCTATCTACCAAGTCAACGTTCACCCCACCCCATAGTCGACCCAGCTCGCAACAAGTTAACTCGACTCTGTGCCCATCGTAGTACCACCCGAATAACAAATATTGGTTGTACATTACGCCCCACCAAAAGAAACCTGGAAGTGCGTGTTCACAGCAGTGCCGTTTCTTCGTGAGCTAGGGCATTCCGCTTTCAATTCAGTGGGTCGACTGTTAGCCAAGGAAATTTGTGAGAACCCGAACTTCATAGTCATTAACATTTCACATAAGAAACTGTACAGTGTCGGCGTCAGCTCGACAACTCATTATGTACAGATGTTCTTGTTTATAATCCGACGGAATGACACGCCGCGCGCGGACTATGTGGCAAAACTTACAAACCCCGGGAAAAACGGGAAACTTATAGTCCCATTTCCAGAAAATTGTATGCATCACAGTTTTTTTGTTACTAGTTGTTTCCTGTAATTTACGCACATTCAGACCGCGCTTGCTTCAACTTCTCGTCGCACAGTTCCCCGCGTTGATCAATGTCGCATGATTAGCGGACAAGGAAAAGACAAAGTGAATTATGGTTTGAGGCGTGAAGAGAAAGTATTAAGTTTTGTTTTACCCTGTAAGCGATATAATTTAGATGTCATCGTCGAGCGCGCTTGGGACTGTGCGACATGATTGAGAATTAATCACGGTCAGGAGAAAAAAAAAATAACAATTGCTAAGGTATTTTTAGAATCAAAGATCATTTCTTGACCATTTTCAGTGAATATTGAGCTGGTTCGATATGGGTCCTTTGATTGTAACGTACAAACAGCTTTGTCATCGTTTTCATTTGGTTGGGTAGGGTATACAGCGATAACGGAGATTTTACGCCCCTTAGCCAGTTTGTCACGTGGTTCGGCTTTACCCCCCAGGTTGCTAGGAACGTTTTATGGCACCTGACAGCAGGAGACAAGTACTGTAGCAACGAGTCGCGCTAGGTGAAAAGGTTGAGAAAGAGGGTGTACACAGGATGCCCAACCCCTGCGCGCGAATTTGCTCTGCCCCTAATTGAAAGTCTGCCCCTGTGTTTTTTTTCCCGGGCAGTTGTACCCTGTGTATAAGCACATTTGCCACTTGGTTGTGGGTGGCCAGTCGACAAAAAAAGCGCATGTGCTAAGTGACAACCAACGTTGCCCCATGATCTCCCTGTTTTTAGGCCAGGGACAGGGTTCGCGAAAACTGTGGTCGACGGAATTTTGACGTCGCACACATTTTCGCACATGACTGTACGCCACGTCGATGCGGCTCATCGTGCACCAAACGAACACACCTCTCCCCTTCCGCGCCACGTGGACATTGCCGAGGTTGGATATAAGCCCAACAATGTCCACAAAGTGCACTTATGCACACGTCATCAGCTGTGGCGCGAGTTACTCGTGCGAGTAACAAACACATTCGTGGAAACATTCACTCCGCGAAGGAGTGTTACAAGCGCAAATGTGGCAACATTCACTCGCATGAATGTTGCCACTTCACATTGAGGCGCCGCGATGAGACACTCGCGACATTGAGTCAGCCCCCCACATTGAATCGGAGATAAATTGACAATTAAACTCGTCAGTCACAAGCCTTAATAAGCAGTTCAGACACTAACCACGCCGCGGTCCGCACCTGCCAGGAGCAGCTCCCGCAGCTGCTAATGTATCTCTCCGTCCGCCCGAGAGACGTTTATAACTTCGACGAGACCGCCTTGTACTTGTCGGTCTTACCTCGCAAGACGTACGGGGAAGGGCGCGTGGCAGGTCGCAAGTTGGCGAAGGAGCGCCTCACAGTCGGGTTGCTAGTGAACGCGGATGGCAGCCACGCATTTCGCCCCTTGGTCATCTCTAAGGCCAAGCGACCGCGGGATTTTCTTCCCGACTACGACCCTGAGGAGCTATGCTACTGGCATCACAACAAAAAGGGATGGATGACGGCACCGGTGAGCAATGCCCCTCGAGTTATACTTCCCTTTATTGGTGCACCCGTTTCGTTCCCGTTCACTAAATCGCACATTTTCCTCACGTATTTCCTTTGTTCCGCATGTTTGTGTGCAGCTCTTCACGCACTTCATCGGCCAGCTGAACGCCGCAATGGTGGCCGAGGACCGTTTCATCGTCATCCTGTTGGATAATGCAAGCAGCCACGCCCTCCGTAGCGACGACGCCACGTCGGAGGACATGTTTGGCTTCCGCACCCGCAACCTCGGCAACATTCGGCTGGTCTTCCTGCCGCCCAACACGACCGCCTTCACGCAGCCGCTCGACCAGGGACTGATAGCCACGACGAAGGCGCGCTATCGCCAGCACTGGCTCCGTGCGGTCACGGCTTTGTGGACCGATGATGGCGCCATGCCCGTGATGGCGCGCTACCGTCCGAACATGCGCGACGTCATCGCGTGGTTGTCGGACGCATGGATGAACATTCCCGTGCGCACGATCCAGCGGTGCTGGTGGCGCACGGGGTGCATGCCGCGCTCGTGGGCCATGCAACTGGCGCATGTCGGCCAGGACGGCCTTGCAGCAGTCGGCAACGGCGTGAACGCCGCTCTCCCCATTGACCTCGACGAGGACATTGGGGACGTGGGCTTGATGATTGCTCGGCTCGGTCTCGGGACGAGCGCCATGCTGGCCGCGGCCTTCGTCGCCCTCGACGACGATCAGCCCACGTGCGCCGAGCCGGGCGAAGACCCGCTCGCTCTTGAGCCCGCGGCGGGGTATTCGGACGCATCGTGGGAGGCGCCGACCGCCATGCAGGCAGTTTACAACGACGACAATCCGGAGAGCCGAGAGGCGCGGCGCTATGCCCGAGCGGCGAGCGAGATGCTCATTGGTTACGCACGTGCCACCGGCATTTCGCCGCGCAACCTGTGCGCGCTTTTCGAGATTCGTAACCCCATCATCGTCGACCACATGGAGCGCGCAAGCCCCCCCCTGAACCTGAACCTGAACGCGACCCCGCAGCCCGCTCGCCAGCCTGCTGCGTCCCCTGCTGTCGATCCTGCGCAGGCACCTGCGGAGGCACGCGCTCCTCGTCGCCGCGGGCGCGTTCTGCCTGCGTGGATGTACGCGCCTGCTCCCACCCGCCAGCACCTGATCGACTCAGGCGTGAGTGCCGTCATGAACGGCTATGTTGATGCTGCAGAGTGGATGACTCTGTGAGGGGGTGTTTCCACACCCTCGGGGAGAAGCACTCTCCCCTGTGCACAATTGTGCACATCTTGTGCACAATAGTGCACCCAATAGCCCCGTCAGTTGGTGGGTTGCGCAGGTGGAAGGCTGGGATTGGATAGAGAGGGGGTGTTGAGTGTTCATGCCTGTTTGTGATTGAACTTGTAATCGGGTGCTACAGAAATGAGTAACTATTGTGGTAACATGCGCAACACATAACAAACACACCCAGCCACACTGCAATGATGTCTCTTAACTTTTACGCGGTGTTACACGTTCACCTTATACACCCACAATGCCCTTGGCGAAGTGTACGAAACAGAACGAATTAACAGAATCACTTATAGACCCTCTTCGTAAGGCAGGTATGGGTGACTCAAACGCGCATCAGGTGTACGTGGTCCAAGAAAACACGATTTTTTAGGATCCAATCCTCCATACAGTGCCTTTCGTGTGCATGCGCACATTCACGTGTACAGTTCATAAGCGGTTCATCATTATTGTCTTCAAGCCCATACGCGTGTCCTCTGCTGTGCTCTATGCCCTTCCACGCTGTGCTTGTCTTACTGTATTTTGTTCGCAGCAAGACGATTTACAGGCACAATGTGACGGAGTGTAGCCAATCAGCCCAATCAGTTTCGATAGCCAGGAGCAGCCTCTCTAAGGGCTCACCGCATTTTGGATGCGACAAAGTTTTCGTTATTCCTGCCCAACAGAAAGAGTGATGTGCAGTTGACAACCAGCGGTTAGACAAAACATAGTTCACAGAAGAGTCAAAGGAGTGTGGGAACGAAAAACTTTTTACAGCCGACGAATGGGAGGGAGCAGGCAGGAGAGAAGGGGAAGAGAGGGGAAGAGTCACGAGGGCGTGGTCAGTGCGTTAAAGCCCAAAACCCGAATTACAAAAACGAGCCCCGCGTTGACTTGCGTTGAGCAATTCAGGTTTTGGGCTTTAATCAGTTCACCCGTCGTGGTTCTAGACGATTCCAAACGGTGAACAGCGGTTTTGGAGCTTCCCCGTTTTCAACCGTGACGAAACAAAAGTAACCGGACAGGACGAACAAGGTTCGAACGCGCTGAGGGATGGAGAGTCGCCGATTGTTTTTTTGGCGGACCAGGAGGAGCCTGATTGTTGTCGGGTTTCCCTTACCTCCCTCCCTCGCTCGCCATTCCTCTCCAAGAAGTCCCTTAAAGCCCAAGACCTGAATTACAAAAAAAGGAAGGCAAACTGTGCACAGTTTGCCTACCGAACCCACAGTTGACCTCCCGAGCCAGGCTGGTTACCAGAAAACGTCGCGCTAAAAAACAGAGTCGTAGAGCAGAAAGGGTTTGGTTGGCGAGAGTCCCAACCACACCGTCCTGAAGGAACAAGAGCTCAAAATGTGCACAGTTTGGCTTCTTTGGTAATTCAGGTGGTGCTATTCCCGTAGTATGCGAAACGATTATACCATGCAGAGAGCATAGAATAAATAGCCACTAAAGCATAGGCCATGAGCACTTTCACCTTTCTTCGTAGCGAACCTACGGCCCATTTAGAACTCCAGGCTTATCTATACGGCCAATCTAGAGATCCCGACTTCTTTTGAGGTCGTAGCTTATCGGCATGTGAGCATCGCGAGGGCGCATCGCCTTATCGCCGTTGATAAACACCGCGGTTGCGCTACACACCGATCCGCCCCTATCTCATGCCTAGCCTTCCACGTCGTGGATCCATGCCGCCGCCGTCTCTTCATCCGCAGTCTTTTCTCTACCTCCCATCGTCTTACCGCCTCATCCCTTCCTTCCTACCCTCATTCCAAGCTTAGCCGAGCACAAAGCGCATATAATTCCACGACGCGGTTCAAACTCAATTCCCCTCACATCGTCCTCCCCGTTGACGTACCGTCGCCCTCGCTTCCCCCGTTTCCCCGTCGCCCTTACTCCTAAAAATAACCGCTTCGCCACACCGTCGCTCATGCCTTCCCCCACCTGCCCTCACAGACACTGTCGCGCACGCCTTCCCCCACCTTCCCTCACGCTTCCCCGCTCATCGCCCCCGCTTCCTCCCATCGTCGGCCAAGCTTCCCCCCATCGTCGCCCACGCTTCCCCCCATCGTCGCCCACGCAGCCCGAACCGTCGCCCACGCTTTCCCCCACCGTCGCCCACGCTTTCCCCCACCATCGCCCACCCTTCCCCCTACCTTCGCCCACCCCCACCGTCGCCCGCGCTTGCCCTCCCATCGCCCTCGCTTAGCCTTGCCGCCGACCTCCCTTCCCTCCCACCTCTCTCCGCGTCGTCATCACTCCCTTGTCTATCACGTTCCCCCTCTTCGCCATCTCTTCCCCTGTGTCCCTTCCCCATTGCCTCGTTTGGTCGCTCTCGCTCTCCCCATTGCCACCCTCTCTACTCCTACCATCGTCCATGGTTACCACCCCACCCTTGCACCCTTATTTCCTTCTCTTTCATTCTCCCTCCCCCTCAGCCTCTCACCCACCCTGGACGGGGAGGTATGGCGGGCTGGGCTGGGAGCTAGGGATGGGGTCGTGACTCGTTCGCTGTGGGGTGTGGAAGGGTGCGTGGTCAGCAGCACCCACCCCTTTCTCTCTTGCACTGACCTCCTCCCCTCTCTCGCACCAACCCCGCACGCATGGCAGGTGGTGATGAGGCTTTGGAGCAGAGTGTTGGGGGCACAGCCAGGGCAGCGCGTGCAGGCGGGCAGCAAGGAGTGCAGTGCTGCAGGGGGCGGGTCAGGGGAGCGGGGGAGGCGGGGCAGGGGAGCCGGGGGTTAGGGAGAGAGGGCGCCTACCCTGCCACACTATTACCTCCTGCACTCCCCCCTTACTCCGTTCCGTCATTCCCCCACAGTCGTCCTCCTCTCCCTCTCCCTTCCTCCCTTCCTCCATCTCTCTGCCTCACTACCCTCTTTACCCTCTCTGTTGCCCGTCGTCCCTTCCTCCCTTCCTCCCGTCCTCCCGTCCTCCCTTCCTCCCTTCCTCCCGTCCTCCCGTCCTCCCTTCCTCCCGTCCTCCCTTCCTTCCGTCCTGCCTTCCTCTCGTCCTCCCTTCCTCCCGTCCTCCCGTCCTCCCTTCCTTCCGTCCTCCCTTCCTCCCGTCCTCCCTCCGTCCCGTCTTGTTCCCATCCATCCAATCCGTAGCTCCTCCTCACCCCATCTCCTCCCTTCCCTCGAACGAGCTCGCTCATTCCCCTCCTGTCACCCACGCACGCACCCTCCCCTCGACCGACAAGTCGTTCTCCGCTTCCGTCGCATATGCGTTCATTTCCCCTTCCCTCATCTCCCCATTCCTCATCTCCCCTTCCCTCATCTCCCCATTCCTCATCTCCCCCTCCCTCATCTCCCCATTCCTCATCTCCCCTTCCCTCATCTCCCCATCCCTCATCTCCCCATCCCACACCTCCCCATCCCTCATCTCCTCATCCCTCATCTCCCCATCCCTCATCTCCCCATTCCGCCTCACCCCATTCCGCCCCACCCCATTCCGCCATGCCATCCTACTCCTCATCCCCATTCCCTCGTTTCCCCATCCCTCCTTTCCCGATCCCATCATTCCCTCTGCCAACTTTCCCATCCCACCATACGGTCATACCCCATCCCGCGACCTCCCCGTCACCTCCACCCGACCCCTCTCCTCCCTGCTTCTTCCCATCTTCCCATCTTCCGCCTCGCCAAAAGGTTTATTCTTCACCACCTCCGCTATCCATCCTTTCTATACCCATCCCCTCCTCCCCATCCATCCCATCCCCAACTCCTGCCCCTATCCCTCCTCTCGCGATCCCTCCTCTCGTTTTCTCATTCCCTCCTCTCGTTTTCTCATTCCCTCCTCTCCCCGCCCCGTTCCTCCATGTCTCCCATCTGCCGTACCTCACCTCCATCTGTTCCTCCCATCCTCCATCCTCGTTACCTCCCTGCCACCCTTTCTCCTCCCCACCCTCCTCCCCAGCCTTTCTTCCTCCCCTCCCTTCTGCTTCTCCCCCAAGCGTCCTCCCTGCCTCCCTTCCTCCCATCATCACTTCCTCCCTTCCTTCATTCCTGCATTCATCACTTCTTCCCTTCCTCTGTTCCTCCCTCATTTGCCAGTTGTCATTCTTTTGAATGCTTGCTTCCCTTATATTTCAGCCACGTTACATCTGACTTCTTGGTTTGTGTTTGGACAGGCCTGCTCTGCATCTGGTTGTGAATAACCTAGGCTGTCTGATAGTAACATGATGTATAGCGATGCCATGTATTGGATTTTTTTTTATAATACAGGATTATGAGCCTCAGAGCAGTCATACATATGACCAATACCAAGGAGTTCAATAATTAATATATTACCGTATCTGTAAAGCAAGGGGAATCACCCAACTCGAGAAGGGAACAAAGCTAGGGGGTGTGTGTGTGATGTTGCTTCCCGGTTTGTCTTGCCAGTCTGCTACACTGCAAGCAAAAAAACCAGGCCGTGGTAAAGCCACATCTGGTGCTGGGCACCTGTACCTGCATTGGGGGATATGGGGGTGAGGGAAGGGGGAAAGACAGTAAACGGAATGAGCAGAGGGGAGGAGAAGAAGCAGCGGGGGACAGATTGAACAGAGGGGAAGAGAGGAAGCAGGGGGGAACAGAGTGAGCAGAAGTATAGAGAGTGAGCAAGGGGGAAGAAAGTGAGAAGAGAAGAAGGGGAGGGAGCAAGGGTGAAACAGAGGGAGCAAGGGTGAAACAGAGGGAGCAAGGGTGAAACAGAGGGAGCAAGGGTGAAACAGAGGGAGCAAGGGTGAAACAGAGGGAGCAAGAGTGAAACAGAGGGAGCAAGGGTGAAACAGAGGGAGCAAGGGTGAAACAGAGGGAGCAAGGGTGAAACAGAGGGAGCAAGGGTGAAACAGAGGGAGCAAGGGTGAAACAGAGGGAGCAAGAGTGAAACAGAGGGAGCAAGGGTGAAACAGAGGGAGCAAGGGTGAAACAGAGGGAGCAAGAGTGAAACAGAGGGAGCAAGGGTGAAACAGAGGGAGCAAGGGTGAAACAGAGGGAGCAAGAGTGAAACAGAGGGAGCAAGGGTGAGCAGGGAAGGCGATGGGGGAAGCAGGGAAGGAGATGGGGGGAAGCAGGGAAGGGGAAGGGGGAAAGCAGTGAAGGGGATGGGGGGGAGCAGGGAAGGGGTTGGGAAGAAGCAGTGAAGGGGATGGGGGGAGGCAGGGGAGGGGACGGGGGGAAGGAGGGAAGGGGACGGGGGGGAGCAGGGAAGGGGAAGGGGGGAAGCAGGGAAGGGGATGGGGGGAGGCAGGGGAGGGCACAGGCGGAAGGAGGGAAGGGGATGGGGGGAAGCAGGGAAGGAGATGGGGGGAAGCAGGGAAGGGGATGAGGGGGAGCAGTGAAGGGGAAGGGGGGAAGCAGGGAAGGGGATGGGGGGAGGCAGGGGAGGGCACAGGCGGAAGGAGGGAAGGGGATGGGGGGAAACAGGGAAGGAGATGGGGGGAAGCAGGGATGGGGATGAGGGGGAGCAGGGAAGGGGATGGGGGGAAGGAGGGAAGGGGATGGGGGGAAGCAGGGAAGGAGATGGGGGGAAGCAGGGAAGGGGATGGGGGGAGGCAGGGGAGGGCACAGGCGGAAGGAGGGAAGGGGATGGGGGGAAGCAGGGAAGGAGATGGGGGGAAGCAGGGAAGGGGACGGGGGGAAGCAGGGAAGAAGATGGGGGGAAGCAGGGGAGGGCACAGGCGGAAGGAGGGAAGGGGATGGGAAAAAACAGGGAAGGAGATGGGGGGAAGCAGGGATGGGGATGAGGGGGAGCAGGGAAGGGGATGGGGGGAAGGAGGGAAGAGGATGGGGGGAAGCAGGGAAGGAGATGGGGGGAAGCAGGGAAGGGGATGGGGGGAGGCAGGGGAGGGCACAGGCGGAAGGAGGGAAGGGGATGGGGGGAAGCAGGGAAGGAGATGGGGGGAAGCAGGGAAGGGGATGGGGGGAAGCAGGGAAGGAGATGGGGGGAAGCAGGGAAGGGGATGAGGGGGAGCAGTGAAGGGAAAGGGGGGAAGCAGGGAAGCGGATGGGGGGAGGCAGGGGAGGGCACAGGCGGAAGGAGGGAAGGAGATGGGGGGAAGCAGGGAAGGAGATGGGGGGAAGCAGGGATGGGGATGGGGGGGAGCAGGGAAGGGGATGGGGGGAAGCAGGGAAGGGGATGGGGGGAGGCAGGGGAGGGGAAGGGGGAAGCAGGGAAGGGGATGGGGGGAGCAAGTCGGAGGATGGTGGGAAGCAGCGCAGGGGATACGGGGAAACAGGGAAGAAGGGAAGGGTGTATGTGCGGGTTGGAAAGGGGGCGTGACAAGTGTGCGAGATGGGAAGGGAGAAGGGAGGGATGGCAAGGGCAACGAGGAGTGGAAGGGAGGCGACGGGGGGAGAGAGAGAAAGAGAGCGTGAAGGGGGAAAATGGGTGAGAAATGGGGAAAGCGGGGTGAGAACAAGAGGAGTGAGGAGAGGGAAAGAGAATGAGGCGGGGGGAAGCGAGTGAGCAGGGGGAAAGAGAGTGAGTGGGGGGGGGAGAGAGTGAGCAGGGGGAAAGAGAGGGAGCAGGAGAGAGTGAAAGGCAATGGGAGGGGAAGTGAAGGTGACGGGTGTGGAAGCGAGTGTGACGGGCGGGAAAGCGAGTGCCTCAGGCGTGGAAGGCGACGGGAGGGGGAATCGAAGGCATCGGAGGGGAGAAGTGAAGGCGACGGGAAGGGGAAGTGAGGGCGACGGGAGGGGGAAATGAGGGCGACGGGAGGGGGAAATGAAGGCGACGGGAGGGGGAAATGAAGGCGACGGGAGGGGGAAATGAAGGCGACGAGAGGGGGAAGTGAAGGCGACGGGAGGGGGAAATGAAGGCAACGGGAGAGGAAGTGAGGGCGAGGGGAGGGGGATATGAAGGCGACGGGAGGGGGAAATGAAGGCGACGGGAGGGGGAAATGAAGGCGACGGGAGGGGGAAGTGAAGGCGACGGGAGGGGGAAATGAAGGCAACGGAAGAGGGGGGGGAGGGGGGGGAGTGAAGGCGACGGGCGGAGCGAAGGCGACGGGCTGGGGTCGCGAACGCGACGAGCTGCGGAAGCGATGGCGACGACGCGGGCGACAGAGAGCGGAAGCGAGGGAAAGGAAAGCGAGGGCGACGGGAGGGGTCACGTTTGGGCGATTCGATTTTCGCCGCGAGTTTACGCTACGGAGTAGTTGCACAATAACCTGCATTTCGACACAAAAAACTTCACCCAGCGAACACTAGGGTTGCGCGTCATCATCGAAATCCGCGCCACCCACATCGTAAGGCCCATCTGATCCCTGTTGAGTGAACGCCGACGCCCTGCCCTGTCTACAAGTATGGTCTATGCCTAGTACTTGGCGTGATATCTCAAACTGTGCACAGTTCGCTGTGCTCGCGCTTTTCTGGTTGTGGGAAGGACCCCACCCATCATAGGAAGCGAAAATCTTTTGTCGCAAATTGGTTTCGCGAGTGAAAGTCTCTCGCAACCCAACCGAGCCTCTCCGTGCCTGCCTCCCGAACCTAGTTTTTAGCCTTGACTTCCGTTGAGTAATTCAGGTCTTGGGCTTTAATGCACAAACGAGGTCGGTCCCTCCAGCATATTTCCTGCGCTCAAGCACAACAGTGTGCTAGAACCCTACCCGATCGTGATGTAACCATTCAAACCGCACACGAACAGTACTCGAACCCCGTTGACAGCACGGGAGTGTTTCTGTTATTTCCCATCAGCTAGGAATTGTCACAGCTGCAGTGTCACCGCAGAACTCTTCGTGTGAGCGGGACAAGCGAGCCTTCATGATTCTTTCGAGTGACCTACTCAGCTGATTAGTCTGTTCCCGTCAAGAAATCACAGGGTGCTTCGTATGGCTCCTATTATTTTCACGGAAGCTGCAGCTTGGCCTGCCAACCAGGGCGATTTCCCCGGCTCCATGGTTCTCATGGACGGTTTTAGTCATGGCGTGGACAATCCCACGAACGGCTGGAGCGGACGAGGTGTGGAAGCCGGCGGACAATACGGCAGTGGCATCGATAGAAAACACCATTCTGACGCTCGTTTTCCATCGTCGGACGAGCTCGTTAAGGCGGCTCAGTTGCACAACAGCGATAATCGCGGCGACGTTATATCTCAATTCGGACGTGGACTTAACTGTGCCACTCCGTTCCTTGAAGATGGAATGTTTGACGGATTGCTGACTGGTGACGCGGCGATTCACGACCCGGCAGCATGGACGGACCCCGCGCTTCGGTTCGCAGAGGGATTCCTCCCATCGTCGGGATGCAATGGTATTTTTCATACTCCTGAACCTGCTGCTGCTACGATGATTCCACTAACACAAGGTAATGCCATTGTTTTCCGTGCTATGGTGCTTAACCATGTAGCGATTTTCTGGCATGGGACCCTTTTCCTTGTAGTCCCTTCATTTTTTCCCCCTTTGTTCCCATGCTTCTCATCTCAGGTGTGCAGCAACCCCCACCACCGGTCGAACCGGAGCACGGAACCGAAATTCAGAAGCAGGGACGGAATAAAAAGACTCGTTCCGGCGCTCTCTTCGTTCCTGCTGATGCTGCTGGTGGTTCTGGTGCTGCTCCTGCTCCTACTGCAGCTACTGCCGCTGCTGCTCCTGCTGCTGCTCCTGCTCCTGCTCCTGCTCCTGCTGCTGCTGCTGCTCCTGCAGCATCGGTTGGATGGAATCTCGACCTCCTGAGCGCTCCTCTGAGTTCAACGCTACGGAAGGCGTCGTCCGATTCAGGTCATACGCGCACCAAAGCGCCGACTCGCGCCTGTTTGAGCGACCTCCGTCATAATGGGATGAACACTCCTGGCGGCGTCGGACACGCTCTGGCGTCGCAAGGCGGCGGGTCGTCAGTGCCGGAAAGCGTTACGCGTCGCGTCGACAGCCTTCACGCCTCGACAAACTTGGTAACGAATAGAAGTGGTGACGTTCATGTCGCCGACGCGGATGCGAAGAGGTCCGGCGAAGGAATTTCGCACGGGTCGCAGAGTGGCAGTTTCCCCTGTCGCTCCGTCGCTTCGTCGGTTTGCGAAAGCGGGACTCGCGGCGGAAAGCCGGTGAGGTGTAAAAAATTCCCGCGTTGCCGATGCAGCGAGGCTTCGCGGCACGAAACGGGCTCGCAATCTCTTCAGGAGGCCGCGTCGCAGAGCGTCGCCAGTGCGACGAAAAACCACGCGCAAGTTCGCGAAGCCATCGGAAGCGGTTCGCTCGCGTCCCGGTCTCAAGCGCTTACGTCAGCCGGGAGCAGCGACGGCACCGGGAGCAGCGGCAGCGCAAAATGCGGCGATGAAGAGCAACAGCAGCAGCGGCAGCAGCAGGGCGAGAACGTTTCAAAGGATCAACCGGCCAGGGTGGTGAAGCCGGTCGATTTGACGCAGCGTCTGGCGAGCGTGTGCCGAATGCAGGCGCAGAAATCGCGCGCGAAGAAGGCCGCCGCGCTAGCCCAGGCGAACGCGCAACGGCAGGCGCAAGAGCAAGGGCAGGCGCAAGCCTTGCTGCAAGCGCGGAAGTTAGCCGCGCAGGTTCAAAGTCAGGCGGTTCCCGCATTGGCGGCGCAGCAGCAGCGTTTGCTGGAGCAGTCGTTGTCGCTGGTGCAACCGTTGGCGCCCCGTTCTAACGAACAGCAGCCGCAGCAGCAGCAGCGGCAGCAGCAGCAGCAGCTGCAGCAGCAACAGCAGCAGCAGCAGACGGTGTTACGGCGGCCAATGGCGCCACAGATGGCACAGGGGAGCACGGGCAACGCGAACGAGCTGCAGCAGCTGCTGCAGCGGATAGGCCAGGGTCCAGGGCAGGGCGACGGGCAACAGTTGATAGAATATCTGCACCTGCTGCAGCAGCAGCAACAACTGCAACAGCAACAGCAACAACAACAGCAACAGCAGCAGCTGCAGCTGCAGCAGCAAGCGCAACAGCCGCAGCAGCTGCAGCCACAGTACAGGAACGGACAGCAGCAGCAGCAGCAGCAGCAGCAGCAGCAGCGAGGCGAGGCGGCGCAACAGGAGGCGGCGGGCAAGCGACCGTTGGTGGACTCGGCGTTCCACCGCGAGTTCCAATTCGACAGCATGCCCGCCATGCGCGCTGCCGAGAGCCTCGCGCTCGAGCGCGCGCTTACCGCCGCTGACAGGGCCGCGGCCGTGCCAGTAGCTTCCGCCGGTGTGCCACCCAGCGGGGCCGCGGAAGCAGCTGCGGAACCAGCGGGGGCAGGAGCGCCGTTTTTGGCCGTTGCGGGGATGACGGCGGACGCGGGGGGGATGGACGGAATGGTGGGGGTGACGGGGGGGACGGCGGGGTGGGCTCGCGCGACGGACGCGGACATGCTGTCGCAGCTGTTGGCGAATTCGCGAACGCCTCTGGCGACGGACATGGACTTGGTGTCGCAGGTGCGGCTGCGGATGGACCCGGCGCTGCTGGCGTCTCTGGATGCCATGCGCGCGCACTCGCAGCACCACGCGCAGCTGCACGCGCTGCAGCAGGGGTTGCAGGGGCAACAGGCGCAGCAGGGGCTGCAGGCGCAACAGGCGCAGCAGGGGCTGCAGGCGCAACAGGCGCAGCAGGGGCAGCACGGGCAGCAGGCACAGCTGATGCAGCAGGGGCATCAGGGGCGGCAGGGGCAGCAGGTGCAGCTGTTGCAGCAGGCACAGGCAGGCATGGCCGGGGGTCAGCCGTCCGTAATGCTCACCCCAGAACTGCAGCAATACCTAGCTGCTGCCGGGAAGCTTCCTTTCCCGGACAAAAACTTCCCAATCTGGGAGGCTCTCCGGGCGGCATCCGCGCAACAAGCCCCGCCTGGTTTCTCCTCCCCTCCCATGGCCACACCCGCCACTGCCTTCCCATCCGCCACACCCCTCCCTCCCGCCGCACCCCTCCCGCGCATCACAGCCATACCTCCTTCCCCCAGCATATTCGGCTGCACAGAGGACGTGCGCGCAGTGCACGCGCCCTCCGCGTCCGACGCGGAGCTGCGCGCGCGCCTGCTGCGCCTGGCGGAGGCCGTGGCCACCAGCGAGCAGGGCGAGATGGCAGCGCTGACGCGCGTGCTGCGCGCGGACGCGACGCCCCACGGCACGCCCATGCAGCGCGTGGTGCACTACCTGCTGGGCGCGCTGGGGAAACGCGCGTCTGGGAGCCTGGGGGAGGAGTATGTGGTGGAGCCGCTGCAGACCGCCGAGGTGAGTGTGGGCTCTTTTAGAAAGGCATGGGGTGGCATGGCGCGGAGGTGAGTGGGTTCACTTGGAGTGGGTCGACTCACTAGTAATCGTGTCGGGGAGCCTTGGGGAGGAGTATGTGGTGGAGCCGCTGCAGACCGCCGAGGTGAGTGGGGTTTGTGAATGTATGGCATGGCATGGCATGGGTTGCCGTGGTTTCTGACTTTCCTCCTTCCTTTCTCGTTCCTTTCTTGCCTTCCTTCCTCCTCTCCTTCCCTCCCACTGACCATTCCTCACCCACTCAAACCCGACCCTTTCTCCACACTTGTCTTCCGCTCTTCCATACATCCTTCTCCACTCCCTCCATTCCATCTCTGCCTTTATCCGCCCATCTTCCAGCATCTCCCACCCTTTCCACACTCCACCACCAGGAGGAAGCATTGATCCTCACCTTTGCAGCGCGGAACCCCCTCATGCAGCACTGCTACACCACCATGGCATGCGGCATCGTGGACGCCCTGGAGCACCCTCGGTCCCTCCCTCCTTGATTCTCCCTCTCTCTTGCTCCCACTTTTCCCTTCCACACCCCACCACCAGGAAGAAGCCATGATCCTGGCATTTTCAGTGCGCAATCCGTTGATGAAGCACTGCGACACCCTCATGCAGCACTGCGACACCCTCATGCAGCACTGCGACACCCTCATGAAGCACTGCGACACCACCATGGCCTGCGGCATTGTGGACGCGCTGGAGCACGACGCCCTCGTTCACATCGTCAGCTTCTTTCCTCTTCTTTCTCCCCTCACTTTCTCGCTTCTTTCCTCCCCTTTCCCTTCCCTATCTCTGCCCCTCTCCTCTCCCTGTCTCCCATCCCTCTCTCACCCCTCCCCCCTCACCAGGAGGAGGCTCTCATACTCGCATTTGCAGCGCGCAACCCACTCATGCAGCACTGCTACACCACCATGGCGTGCGGCATCGTGGACACCTTAGAGCACGACCCCCTCGTGCACATCGTTGACTTCGCCATGTGGGGCGGCCAGTGGCCCATCGTCATCCGCCAGCTGGCGGCCTCCGCCGCCCGCCGCCGCCGCGAGAGCTGCACCCACGGCTGTGCTGCTGTCACCGACGGCGCTGGCGCCAGCAGCAGCAGCGGCAGCAGGAGCAGCAGCAACAGCAACAGCAACGGCGGCAGCAGCGGCGCATGCCCCACGTGCACAGGCCCTCTCCCTCTCCACATCCGCTACACTGCAGTCGAGCCTCCTCCCGGCCACCCCTGGGGGGCAGGCCCCAAGATCCCCATCCCGTTCCTGCAGGCGGAGGTGAGCGGCGCAGCGGCAGAGTGCGGAGTGGCGCTGAGCTTCCACCGCGTGGAGGCGCGGCCAGAGACGCTGCGGCCGCTCATGCTGGGGATAGAGCGCGGGGAGGCCGTGGTGGTGAACTGCGCGGGGAGGTTGGCCAACCTGGCGGATTCGACTGTGCTGCGCTCCAGCCCCAAAGACACTGCCCTCTCGGTACGCTTTTCCTTCCCTCCGCTTTTCTCAGTGATTCTTCCCACCGCCTCTAACCTCCCCTTCCTCGTCTCTGCTCCTCCCATGCCACCCACCATCCATCCCTGCAGACCATCCTACAGCTAGCCCCCAAGGTGGTGACGATAGTGGAGTGGGACGCCAACCACCGGCAGCCCTTCTTCCTGCACCGCTTCCGCGACTGCCTCGACTTCTTCTCCAACGTCTTCCACTCCCACGAGCACCTCGCCTCGCGTGCCTCCTTCGGACGCCGCGGCTTCGAGGACAGAGTGCTGGCACACGAGATGATTAACCTGGTGGCGTGCGAGGGGCTGCAGAGGCTGGTGCGGGCAGAAACGCTGGATCAGTTGCATGAGAGGATGCAGCGCATTGGGTTTGCTCCCAAGCCGTTTTCGCGGAGGAGTATGGCGGCGCTGGGGCAGATGCTTGCGCCGTATTCCAAGGGGTTTTCGGTGGTGAGTCATCCGTTGGGGGGTGTGCAGCTGCTGTGGCAGGGTAAGTCCATGCTTGGTGCGTCTTTCTGGCAGCCTGCGGTGGAAGGGTTGGAATTGGGCTTGATCAGGGGGTGTGCGGGTAATTTGAATGGCCGTGTGAGTGCCTTGGGGATTACGTGAAGCACGCTGTGAGGCACTCCAGAAATAACTACTGATTGATGCGTGGTGATAATATGGTAGCTAATGAATGTGTACTTAATTGACTGGAATACAATGTTTTGAGGATTGATCATGGTACCGTAGTACAAGGGTTGTTGTGATCGGCTGAAGGTGCTTGCAGTATACCTGGTTGGGGATTCGTCTGAAATCCTTTTTTTTGCTGGTTTGCTGAAACAGGTAGAAACAAAGTTCCGTACCGTAGTAAATGCAGATACGGTACGGATGGAGGAATATTACCACTTGATGTTAGGGTGTGCAGCTGAGTGAGTGAGGAGGAACTGGTTACATCCAAACTAAATCCTTGATTACAAAATAACATGGTACTTCTGACTCACAGCAAATCCCATTCCCCCCTCTCCTCGTGTTATAGGGATAGAGCAGATACCATGCGGGGGTTTCCTTTCAGTTTTCACTACTCTGATGTCAAGGTTCTCACCGTATGTTAGGAACTCAGGAATTCAGAATTGTCCCTGAACGCTACTCTGATCTGATTCATCAGTGCTAATCGCGTTTAAAAAAACAAGCAAGTACCGGAAGTTAGGGGATGAGAGGAGAAGCTCACACGTGTTCTGTCTATCCATTATAGGCCAGTATGTTCCTCAATTATGTTATGAAGCTCTGCATTGGCCATGACCAAAACTATTCAAACATGCTTGATTGAATTTCTCAACAATTTATCATGTATGGGTATGCATGCAATTCACATCCCGACTGACAGCTCGTTTTGACGCGTACACTTGAGTGACTATTGCATCTTTGGATTTCTTCGATGGTGTCCGTCATGCCTGACTGACTGATTGACTCGCAGGTGGGAGGGAGGGTGGTGCTGCTGTGTGTAGTGCACGCAGGATAGTGTACAGTTCCAATCCAATCGAAGGTCGGGTGCAAGAAAGTGTGGCTACAGAACTAGTCGTCGCTTCTGCACCCAAGTGTGAATCTCCATGTGCTGTACGGCTGTGCGGATTCCGTTTCCGTTAGTCCAATTTCACGTGACGACATCACTCGGGGAGAGCGCCATTCGCAACCAACCACAACCCTTCCTCGTGTTCTCGCCACCTCCGTGCACCATGGCGCTGGTGACAGCCGTTTGGCGCGCAGCCCAGTTGGTACAGTACAGTGTTTCTGAAGACACTTCCTCGTTTTGAAAAACAGTTCACGACGACACCTCGCTCCAAGCAAATTTCAGGGTGATAAACGCGGCCCGGAAACTGGGAGGGATGCAATGGTTGTCGCCACTGTGGCCCCACCTGTTCAAGGTGAAGGTAGCTAGCATAGCAACCTGTCGCAAGCACACATTCACGCATTCACGAGAATGGCGAATTCAAGTTACACAGTTTCCCAGCAGTCAAGCGGTCAGCCGTGCCATGTTGTCACGAATCCTGACGAGGCAAAACAACCAGAGATTGGATCCGGTCAGCTGGTTGAATTGAGAGAATCCAATTTTCCACCACGACCTCTGGTCTGTCTGCTGCTCCTGCCTGCTCCATTCCATTCCACTCCACCCCACCCACCCGCCCCTTTCACCCACACCACCTCAACCCCAAGTCCCAACCCTCTGGTTCAGTGACCTCGTTTTCCCACTGGCTTCCCACTGAAGTTGGCTCGATGCCTACCCCAGATTTTTCCCGCCAAAGCACAACGACCAGACGGGGACGGAGACGGACCGGACAAGAGGCCAACCACGATCGCCGTCAACGGTTTCCGTCATCCCATCGACCTCAAGCCAGCTCAAACCTGTGAAACAGAACGCCCACTCTGCATTTCTGAACCCTTCATCCATTATGACCGCACGCCACTGTCCGTACCTTTTGTGGTTCCCTAATAGGCTGCATCTTAAGATTCTTCCAGGTATTATTGTTCATTCGAAGTCCTCCACACACGCTTAGCTCCAGGAATGCATATGGCGGCCGTCGGCACAGCCCAAGCCATGGACATAGAGCCGCAGTTCCGCGCGCCGCAGTACCACTCGCCGCGCCAAGACCCGCCCAACGTCGTTAACCTTGCTGACGCCACCATGGATGAAGTCGGCAGCCCGGACCGCATGCCCCGCCGCTCCCCCCTGCCGCCCTCACCAGACCACTACGCTCGCTCGTCTCCGACCTCGTGCGAGCCGCGTGTTCCATCCAACGCAGGCAGCTATGACCCCCGAAGCGGTTACCAAGTTACTTTAAGCAGGACCGCGTCGCCTCCCAGGCGGGACACGAATTCCCTGTTTTCTCGCCGCAACCGCGGGGCGCTCAGTCCCCTGACCACATTTCAATCCCCTTCCACCTCCGCCCAAGCTTTGTCCTCTTCCGCCGCTCCGCTGGATCTAGAATCCGCCGCGCAAGGCGGCTTTGCCCCTGCCGATGGGGGACGGAGCTCCCGTTCCCCCTCCCCCCGCCTTTTCCAGCCCGCCACAGGCACCGACTCCCCGACAATCTCCCCCGACCATCCGCGCACCGGACTGTACCTGGGACCCGCTGCGCGGAACTCCCCGCGCGCAATGGCGGGCGGCGGAATGCCGTCCGCTCAGCGTGCGGGTTCGCCAGCTGGTGTGGCGGGCGGCGCGGGGACTGGCGCGGGGCTTCCGGTGAACCCCTTCATTCTGGCACACGGGGGCTGTCCGCGGTCCCCAATGCGCTCCCGCCAGCAGCTTTCCGCGTATGGCGGCTCGCAGCGCGCAATTGCGCCATCTCCGCTCTCCGAGCTGCTTAATATGGGAGGTTCGACTCGGTTAGAACCCCAGCCTGACTCACTTGAAGCAGACTCGTTACAGATACAGATGCCGAGTAATGATCGATCGCAACATGGCCAGCAGAGGGACGAACATCCGCAAGAGCGTGACTCGTTCTTGGAGCAGCAGTTCCAGCAGCAGTCACAGCAGCAAGCGCGGCAGCTTTATTCCCAGCAGAGCGTGCCGTCCGCCGTGCCGTCCGCTGTGCCGCCGCATCGGTCTCCGCGATCGTCGTCGCTCGACAGCTACGACCAAGTCATCGCGTCGCACTCGCCTCGCGGCGATTACGGCGGCACTTCGCACGCGCCCCTCGCGCATCGCGCGCAGCTGCCCTCCCCCAAGCAACTCCACGCGCCTCTCAACCCGCACGCGTCGCAAACCACTCCGCCGCGTAACGGTGCGCCAGACCACATTTCCCCCTCCCGCGGCGGTGCGGGGCCGCCGAGCGCCTGCGCGCCCATCGCCACCCCCCGGCCGGTCCGCCCGGCCCATCGGCGCACAGCCTCCGCTTCCGCCGCCTCCGCGCTCCTCCAGCACAACTTCTCCGCCGACATGCATGAGGGCAGCTCCTCCCCGCGCCCCGCTTTCTTCTCCCGCCCGCCTCCCTCCCCGCGCCACACACCCGCGCAGCCTATTGCGCCATCCGCCGCAGCGGCGCTCGTGGCCGCCGCTTCCGCGGGAAGCGGACCCGCGACGCCGCGGGGAGCCTCTCCGCGGAGGAGCTCCTCGCCCGCGGGAGTGCGCGCGGTGAACAGTGCGAGCCGCGCCGTACAGGACTTGCACGCGCGGCTGCTAGCTGCCGCCCAGATGATTGCCGACGGGGACACGGCTGGCGCAGCTGCTACGGCGGAGGCGGCAGCGGCTGTAGCGGCGGCGATACAGCAGCAGCAGCAGCAGCAGCAGCAGCAGCAGCAGCAGCAGCAGCAGCAGCAGCAGCAGCAGCAGCAGCAACAGCAGCAGCAATGGCAGGCGCAACAGCTGCAGCAGGCGCACCAGGCGCAGCAGCAGCAGCAGGGAGGGGGGAAGCGGCAGGGCCGCGCAATAGGGATTTCGGAACTGCAGATGGAGCGGGGGGGCGCACAAGGAAGCTCCGCGCCAGGCGGGAGTTTCCCGTTGAGGGGAAACTCCCCGCTGAGGCAAGCTGGCGGCGCAGCAGCGGTGGGGTTAGCGGGCCACGCGGAGAGGGCAGGGGGAGACGCGGCCGGCGCAGAAATGCGCACAGGCGGAGCAGCCGCGGGGGGAGTCTCCCCCACGTCTGAGCGCGCGGAGCAGCTGAAGCGGCGGGGGAGCGCGATGCTGGGGGAAGAGGAGATGCGCGCCCTCTCGCACATGTCCCTGGGGGATCCCTCAGGGGGCGTTGCGCGTTCAGGTGGAATTTCAGGTAGGCGCGCAGGCGCAGGTGACTTTGCAGGTTTCTCGGGTGCTGGTAACGGGGGAGCTAGTAACGGGGATGCGGGGGCGTGCAATCGTCCTGTGAAGCAGCGGGTGTCCACAGGCCATCGATCCGCCTCCAGTGGCATTGGCAGTGGCGGGAGCAGCAGCGGGGGGAGTGGTGATTATCCATCCGCGCTTTCCGCTGCAGCAGCTGCTGCGCTAGCCGCAGCAGGGGCTCCAGTGGGGATTTCCCCAGGGGAAATTACTCAGATTGCCCAGAAATGGATGGAGCTGCAGGCGGGGGGGGGCCTGGGCGGGTACGTGCACAGTTCACCCTCGCCTTCCGCCGCTGCTGCTGCCGCTGCGGCCGCACGCGCTTCTGCGTCTGTCGCTGCTGCTGATGTGGCGGCGGCAGCTCGCGCACAGAAAGCAGCAGCGGAAGCGGCGGCGGCGGCAGCAGCAGGAGGCGCCTCGTTAGGCGGCGCTTCTCCCGTCTCCGCGGCAGCAGCGCGAGCAGCAGCCAATAGGAGAGCGGCACGTCACCGGCGCACAGGCAGCGCGGATTTCGTACTGAACAACCCGGGCGAGGCGCTGAAGCCCGCAGGCCCCCTGCGCCAGACCCTCAAGCGCGCCAGCGCCAGCGGGGGCGTGAGCGGGAGCGGGGGCGGGGGCGGGGGGGGTGCGGGGGGCGGGGGTGGGGAGCAGCACGTGGCGCTGCAGGCGCAGCTGCGCCTGTCCGGGTACCACCTGGATCATGTCTCCCCGCCCAGCCTCGCCAGGCTGCTCAACCAACCCGCCTTGGGGCCTGCGACAGGAGGGGTGGGCGCAGTAGCTTGGGGCGCAGGGGCAGGGGGAAGGCGAGGAGGGGCGGCAGGCGCGGGGGGAGGGGGCGGAGGCGGGGGCATTGGGGGCGGAGTGGGAGTGGTGGGGAGGCACCGGCCGTCGTCGTCCATCTCAGGGTTTGCAGGAGACAGGCTGGTCACAGCTGCTGCTCTCGCCGAGGCGTCCAAACACCTTGCCCTCGCCTCCGCTGCTGCTGCTGCCCCTCACTCTGCTGCCGCTGCTCCCAGCGCTGCTGCTGCTGCTGCTGCTGCTGCGTCCAAGTCGCTGTTTCAACAGCAGCAACAGCAGCAGCAACAACAGCTAATGCAGCTACAGCAGCAGCAGCTAATGCAGCAGCAGCAGCAGCAGCAGCAGCAGCGAGGGGTTGCAGAGAGATTCGATTTGAATGAGTCCAGGGCGCAAGCTCACGTGGGGCAATCCGGGCAGACACAGCAGCAGGCTCGCCCGCAGCACCAGGTGGTTCCTCAGGTGTTTTCTCAGGTGGTGGCGCCACACCGCCAGCAGCAGGGGCGGCAGCTGAACGCTACACTGGGCGCTGGCATGCGCAAGCCAGCAAGTTTTTCGGGCAGCGTGGAGGATGTTTTCGGGCAGTACGAGGGGTTGCCCCCACGAGACCATGTTCTTAGGAAAGAGTATGGGGAGATTAAAGGCCTATTTGTTCTGCATAGTAAGGAGCTGGGCAGCGGGCAGTTTGGAATCATTCGGCCATGCATGGAGGTGGCGACCGGGCAGGTGTTTGCGTGCAAGACCATCAACAAGAAATGTATTCAGGTGAGATCCCACAGAGAATGGGAGAAAGCAACAGAGGAAGAGGCGAGTTTCGTTTGTAAGCAACAGAACAAACGGAGAGGCTTCAAGTGGAAACAACAGAAGGATAGGCAGGCTTCATGTGAAACAAAACATAGTGAACAAGGAGGGAAACATGCACGGTGATGGTGCTGTGCTCTGCTGTTTGTGCGATGCTGTGCAATGCTCTGTCCTGCTCCCCAGCTCCTCTTCTTCATCACCCCCTTCCCAGTGGCCCCATCACCCCTCTGCCCGGTGATCCCCAGACAAAGAGGTGGCATGCCTCACGCTGCTGCTCCCCTCTTTCTCACGCCCTTCCCCTCTTCCCCTGCTCCCCTGCCTGCTCCCCTGCTTCCCTGCTCCCCTGCTCCCCTGCTCAACCCCTATCCCAATGCGCCCCTGTTCCTCTGCCCGGTGGTCCCCAGACGAAGGAGGATGCGGAGGGCATTCGCAAGGAGGTGGCGTGATCCACTCTGCTTCTCCTCTCGTCCCCAACCTCGTTCCCTCTTTTCCCCCGCCTACAACCCCTTCTTCCTCATGCCCGGTGCCCACCAGACGAAGAAGGACGCGGAGGGCGCAAGGAGGTGGTGTGCCTCACACTGCTGCTCTCTTTCTCACCCTCGTTCCCTCCTTCCCCCTTCCCCTGCTCCCTGTTTGCTGCCCTGCTCCCTGTTTGCTGCCCCGCTCCCCGGTCACACCCGCCAGACGAAGGAGGACGCGGAGGACATTCGCAAGGAGGTGGCGTGCCTCACACTGCTGCGCAGCCACCCCACCATCGTGACTCTTAAAGACACCGTGGAGGACGAAGAGGTATGAGGGTAGGGTGATGTGATGGTAGGTAGGGCCGTAAGGTCATAGGGTTGATTGAGTTAATGAGCAATCACCCCACCATCGTCACTCTTAAAGCCACCGTGGAGGATGAAGAGGTACGAGGGTAGGGTGGGAAGGCCATGCCACCTCACCATAGTAACACCTAAAGACATGGTAGGGTTACGGGGTTAAGAAGGCGAGGTAGGGCGTCAGGGTGGTAAGGCAGGAAGTGCTGCTGCAACTGTAGCTTGCAGACCACCCCATAACCGTACCACATTTAAGTGACAGCTGCAACTGTCGCGCACAAACCGCCCCACTCCATAAACACACCACATTCAAGGCACTGAGTGCAGCTGTAGTTGCAGGTGTAGGTGGGTTCTTGCAGAACCACCCACCATAATCACTCGCAGAGAGGCAGTGCGAGACAACAGGATGAGGTTACAGGATGGGGTTACAGGATGGGGTTACAGGATGGGGTTACAGGATGGGGTTACAGGATGGGGTTACAGGATGGTTTGTTGAAGTGTCAATGCAGCTGTGGCATCAGATTTATGATTGTGCAGGCATCCCACCATACTGATTCTTAAAGCCATGGTGTAATGCGAGGAGGTTGGGGTGTAGTAGAGGTGGTTGGAGATATTAAGACTTAATGAAGTGAGATAATTGAGGATTAATTATGTGCAGCAGGTGGATGACGTGAGTCAATGTACACCCATGTCAGACTATCTCAATGCAAACATCACCCTCTCAACCTCTTTTTTATCCCAGCACCCCCTTCCCCCCACATCCCCATTCCCCTCGCACCCCTCTTTCCTCACATCCCTCTTTCTATGCACCCTTCCCCCTTCGCTCTGCTCGCCTTTTAGACCCCATTCGTCGCACCCCCCTTTCTTCTCTCCCACCCTCCTCTCCCCTCCCCAGAACATTCACGCAGTGATGAGCTGTGTCAGAGTAGCAATCTCCTTCACGCTCTTTTGAGGCGTCTCAAAATGAGCTGTGTAATAGTAGCAATTCCCTTAACGCTCCTCTCCTCACACCCTCCCCCCCTACCCGCAACCCACCCCTTCTCGTCCCCTTCTTTCCCCTTTCTACCCCCCATCAGAACATCCACATAGTGATGGAGCTGTGTCAGGGCGGCGATCTCTTCGACCGGGTGAGCAGCAGCGGGCGGCTGTCGGAGCAGAGTGCCGCCCGGCTGTGCAGAGCGCTGGTGGAGGCGCTGCTGCACTGCCACTGCCACGGCATCCTGCACCGCGACATCAAGCCCGAAAACATCCTGCTCTGCGACCGATCGGAGGATTCAAGAATCAAGCTCGTTGACTTTGGGGTCGCCACCTTCTTTGACCCCGGTGAGTGCTTGTTCATGCGACCACTGCTGGTGGTGGTGTTTGTGCTGTTGCCACTCCCTCTTCTCCCACCCCCTCTTCTCCCACTCCCTCTTCTCCCACTCCCTCTTCTCCCACTCCCTCTTCTCCCACTCCCTCTTCTCCCACTCCCTCTTCTCCCGCTCCCTCTTCTCCCGCTCCCTCTTCTCCTGCTCTCTCTTCTCCCGCTCCCTCTTCTCCCGCTCCCTCTTCTCCCACTCCCTCTTCTCCCACTCCTATTCTCGCACTCCCGCTCCGAGAACTCCCGCATCAAGCTTATTGACTCTGGGGTTGCGACCTTCTTTGATCCAGGTGAGTGGCTGTTGAGGGGTCTGCTGCAGCTGCCATCGCTGCTGTTGCTGCCACTGCCCCTTCTCCTGCTCCTGCCGCTACCATAGCCACCCGAAAGTGCGTGGCTCCTGAATGCTTTTCTCATGGTTGTTTTCCTTTCCCCGTTCCATACAATCTGCACCGATTGCCACAGGCAAGCGGCTCACAGAGGTGCTGGGCACGCCCGAGTACATGGCGCCAGAGGTGCTGCTGCAGTCATACGGCCCCGAGGCTGACATCTGGTCGGCGGGCGTCGTCTTATACATCCTGCTGTGCGGCGTGCCGCCCTTCTGGGCGTCGTCACGCAAGTGCGTGGCGGAGGCGATTCTCAAGGGCTCCGTGAGCTTCAAATCCGCTAAGTGGGCGAATGCGAGCGAGGAGTGCAAGGACCTTGTAAGGAGGATGCTTACAAAGGATCCACGGGAGAGAATAACGGCACTGGAAATCCTGGGTGAGTGCGAGGGTGGGGCGGGAGAGTGAAAGGCGGAAATGGCAGGCGCCGGGTGGCATGAGTCTCGGTAATCCTTCTCTCTCCCACGTCAGTGTGGGAGGGCAGATGCGGAAAGGGAGAAGGTATCTGGTGAGCAGGAGATGATACATGCGGTAAACAAGTCCCCTTGTGCCGTGTCACTTTCATCTGTTGAGTCCTGGTTGAGGTTGGCTTCACATTTCGTCCTTCTGTGCTTGTTCTTCTTGTCCTGACGACCATTTTCCACCCCCTCCTATGCCTTGCGCCCTCACTTACAGGTCATCCATGGATTCGCAGGTACCAATAACGTGATTATTTTCAAAGCACCGATTTAGCTAGTGGTGACACGAGCATACGGTACATTCTATTTATGAGACAAGCTGAGCTAAGCTATATGATCACTTGTGATTAATTCATGGAGAGCGGTTTAGGTAGTTTCTCCCAAGGATTTGGTGTACACCATGCCTACACGCTGCGGCATTGTAGCTGGCCTTGTATTTAATCTCTCCTGATTGTGCTTGTGGTCAGTTGCTTGCCTACATTGCGTTTGTGGGTTATAATGTGGTATACTCTCAGTTGCTTTGGTGGACAACTGAGCAGGCCGTTACATTTCCTTGCTGCAAATGAGCAATTCAGTAAAGAGGATTTCATCGAACTTTGACTCTTGGTCGACAACCTTTCCCGAAATGGGCGAAATGGGCGCCACCAGCAGCAGCAGCAACAGAGGGACCAACGAAACGGAACCAGCAACAGCAGTAGCACGCCGCTCCACCAGACAATATTGCGACGCCCTGCGAACGTCGTGCAACCTAACCCAGCCCAACCGAACTTGACCCAACCCAGACCAGCCCAACTCAGCCCAAAGCAACACTACACACAGAAAGAAGCAGTGGGAGCGGACGCCCTTTTCAGGGTACGGATGGATGGGGGGACAGGAGTGTGACTAAGACGCACCAGAAATGTTCGGAAACGCCGAAGCAGGTGAAACCGCTGCAGGTGTTTTTTTATGTAGGAACTTTATAACCACCACATGGGCCTGGAGCAGCTGTTTCCGTAATGGCTCGAACCCTAATTAAGTTTTTTCGTGTTAACGACTATGGCACGATGGTTTCAGGCATTGGTACATGAGCGTCTCCGATAAAGAGTTCCCGTTACAGGGACGAGCGGCGAGGGCAGCGGGGATGAGATGGGAGGAGAACGAGGCCTCGAGCAGGTTCAGTCAGTCGCGCGGGACACCCCACCTGTCGCCACGAAGCATCGTTCCGTGTTTCGCGGTATCTCGAGCGCGCTACGGTCCAACCGAGCTCCGCAAGCCGCCACTGGCGCCGCCGTTACAGCCTCTGACAGCAGCCGAAGTTCAAGTAGCGGGGGCCGCTCGTTAAAGTCGAATATTTCCGCGCCCGAGCGCAGCACTGTTTGGGACGCCCTTCAGAGAGCGCAACGCGGCGCAGCCGCTAGCTCCACGTCAGAACGTGACAATCGGTCGTCAGACCGGGAATTGCGGGAAGAGGATAGGCCGCCGAGTCGGGAAACGCTTGGAGAGACGCGGGAGGAGGAGTGCAGTAGTGGAGGTGAGGAGGTTACTTCTCGTTTTCGTGAGGAATGGCGAAGCGAGAGAACGGAGGTGGAGGAAAGCCCGCACGGGCAGCAATCGACGGCTGGAGGTCGCATCAGCGCGCAGTCTCAACAGCAGGAACGGTCGAGATTGCGGCAAGGGCAGCAGCCACTAGGCCCGCCGCGAAAGGCGGGTTTGAACGAGCAGCAGCAGCGCCCGCCGCAGCAACCGCCGCAGCATCCGCCGCTGCAGCAGCAGGTGCTGAAGCGCCAGACGCACGGCCAAGCTCCGCACGGCTCCCCTCAGGTCGCTCCGCGCGCGCGGAACGCGCAAGGCTTGGTGGAGGGTTTGGCGGAGGGGGCGGAGCGCTCGACCAGCGCGCCGAGGGTGCACCATGCGCGGAGAGCCAGCAGTGGCGCAGCTCTCGCGCTGCCATCTGCGCAGAACGCTGGTGAGGGGAGGATGGGGGGCTTGCTGGACGGCAGCCCCGCGAAACCCGTAAGCGGACGTGGGGGAAGAGACGGGGCTTCCGCGCAAGCGGATTTCGAGCCAAAGCGGAGCCACCTTTCCCCCATGCAGCTTCCCCAATCGCAGCAGGCAGCCAGCGCAGGCCCGCGGGCTGGAGTTGGAAATACCCCTCCGCGATTGAGGCTGGATCGTATGGCGAGTACGGGTTTTCTGGCGGTAAGCCCGGAGAACCGATCCCCCGCCGCTACAGACATGCTCGGGCGGCCGTTCCCCGTGAAACAGGCGCCCTCCCGCTCCAGCTCCGAGTCTTCCGACGCGGAAGAGGAGGGGGAGCGCGGAACGGGAAAGGCGGGGGGCAGGGGGGAAGGAAAGGGGGAAACGGGAGTGCGCAGGGGGGAGGGTGCTGGGGGAACGGCACAGGGAGGGGGAAGCGGGGCGAGTGGGCCGGAGATAGTCGTTGGGGATGTGCTCAGCATGCTCCCCGACAGCATAACGAATATGTTCTTCACGAGTATAAAGTCTGAGCCGCCCAGTCCAGTCCCTTTTGGTACCCCGATAGCCAGTGGGACCAACCAGATAGGCAGCGCGTCTAACCAGGCGATTAAAGACGTCTCTAGAGGGGCAAAATCTGTGTCAGAGGGTGCTAACGCGCGCCCGGTTCAGGACATGGCGATTGCGTTCGCTCTGCCCAACTCGCACAGCGACAGCAGCAGTACAGGAGAAGTGTCCTTTCCTTTTCCCTCCTCCTCCTCCTCCCACGCCCACCACCAACCCCCCGACCAAACCCCGTCATTCCCCTCCCGCGCGTCTCACCACCCCCCCAGGTCCCACCTCCCCTCGGCCTCAGTGGACCTCGACCCCAGATCGCACCTCCCCTGGAACCAGCCGCCTGACGCCTCCCCCATGAGCCTCGCAGGCTGGTTCCCCTCCTCCTCCTCCTACCAGGAACCTTCCGAGCACTCGAGTGAGGGAGGAGGGGGGATGGGGGAGGGGGAGGCGGGGCTGGGCGGGGTTGCTCCGCGGACCCCCCCCAGGCGCACCGTTTCGGGGGTTGATCCGCGGACGAGCAGCCGCGTGTCCCCAGAGAAGTGGGGGAATGGGGGGATAGGGGGAGCTGGGGGGGAAGGGGCGGGCGGAGGGTTGGGGGGACTGCAAGGGCGGGGAGGAGAGGTGGGAAGGGGTTCGGGAAGGTGGAGAACGATAGGGGTACCGGCCAGCAGGAGCGAGGAGGCGTCTGAAGGCGCTCAGAGGATCAGCGTGGGGGCGGGGAGAGGCGCACCAGAGCGACCTGCCACTGCCGCGCCTGCTCCTTCCGCCTCTGCCTACGCTGCTGAATGCGCTGCTGACGCGGTTGACCGTGCCGCCGCCGCTGCGGTTGCAGCGGCTGCTGCTGCGTCTGGAGGTGGAGGCATGGATGGGGCTAGCACCCCCCGGCAGCGGCTATTCAATCGGGCTAACAGCGACCCTGAGCCTAGATCGCCGGGGGACCCTCGCCCCAACACCAGCAGCGGCGCGCTTGGGGGGCCTGCAGGCAGGGGGGATGGCGGAGGGGGAGGCGGAGGGGGGCGGGGGGGTGGGGAGTCGTCACTGGCGCGGCAGGTGCTGAGCAAGTGGCGGCACAAGATAGACTCGCGGCGCCCTGGCACGCCCCCCACCGTGCCCAAGAAAGACTTTCCCCCGCGCCCCCATGCCCCAGGGGAGAACCACCACCACCACCAGCAGCACTCGCAGCAGCAGCAGCATGGCAGTAACAGTAGGTTGATGGCAGGGGGTGGGGCGGGTGAGGGAGGGGGCGGGGCAGGTGCTGCTTCGGGGGAGCTGTGGGGCGGCAGTGGGCGGCCTTTGTCGGCAGCTTCCCGCACGTCGTCCAACATAGAGGGCATGCTGCGCGGAGGGGAGGGGGGCGCGGGGAGGCGCTTGCAGAATGTGCGGATGCTTGGAAAGGGGGGAGGCGCGGGGGGAGGGGGAGGAGAAGGAGGGGCGGATGTGATGCAGGTGTGGGGGGGGGAGGAGAGCGAGGGGGAGGACGGTGCTTCTGCTGCTGGAAGTGTTGCTGGTGGTAGTGGTGCGCATGGGAGAGAGGAGAGGGGGGCAGCAGCGGCCCCCCATGGCGCTGGTCCGCGGGGGGGCGCTGCCCCAGGGGCAGGGCGGGGGCACCAGCGGCGCATGTCATGGCAGCAGCCCCTGGAGCAGCGCGAGCAGATGCAGCAGTCGCAGGTGTGGCAGAACCAGGGGGAGATGGATGGCGGACAGAAGAGCGCAGGGCAGCAGCGGGTGCCAGGAGTGGGGAGAGGGGAAGGCGGCATGGGTGGGAGGGTGGGGCCAGCGGGGAGAATGGGGGGGAGAGGGCGGGGAGGTGGAGGGGCAGGCGGGGAGGGGATGGGAGGAGGAAGGGGAGTGGGGGGAGGCGAGGTAGGGGGGCCGGCGGGTAGTGTGGATGAGGGGTATGGGGAGGAACGGCGGGGGCGGGATAGGTATGGGGGGCAGAAGGGTGGCGGGGGGGACTCTTCCCCTGTGGAGAATGCTGCAAAGAACATTGTGTCTAAATGGCGCAAGTTCGTTAAGTCCCGGACGCCAGATAAGGGCGCGGCGGGAGCAGGAGGAGGGGGAGGAGGAGGGACGGGGGAGGGAGTTGAGGGTGTGCAACGGAGGGAGAAGGAGAGGGAGCGGGAGAGGGAGGGGGAGGGGGAGGAGAGAGGAAGAGGGGATGAGGGGGAGAGGGGGATGGATGTGGTGCAGCAACTGGACTTCACTGGGACCAGCAGTGGGGAGGTGAGTGCGTCAAGTGAAGTTGTACTGCTGGGTCATTAGTAAGCAGCAATACTTTCTTCCCTCTATGTCGTATGAGCTCCCTAGTGGGTGCTTGGTGTGATTTGAGTCGACCAGACTAATCCTCCTCGTTCTACGTCGTATCTCCCCTGTGGATGGACTTTTCCTGCTACTCCCTCTCGCTCTTGCTTTGCCTTGCTCAGACGCTCTGTTATCCTATTCAATTCACTACTCTCCTTCCCGTCATCCACTCCCCCTCACCCCATTACTCTATCTGCTGCCGACTCGCCGTCCCCACCTTCCTCCCAACCGATTCCCCCGGCCACTCCCCCCCTGGCAGCAGAGTGGCAGTGAAGCGCGCCTGCAGAGGCGCTTCTCAGACAAGTCCCGCGCCCCCCTCCCCCCCCACGCCGCCCGCAACTCCACCCCTCCTCGCCTCGCCCCCCCTGCGCCCTCCGCCCCGCACCACTCCTCTCTCCGCCCCTCCTCCCCCTCCCTACGCTCTTCCTCCCCCTCCCTACGCCCGTCCTCCCCGTCCCTCCGCTCCTCCGCCCCCTCCCTCCGCCCTCCATCCCCTTCCCCACGCTCCCCTTCCCCGTCCATCCGCCCGCCATCCCCCTCCATGCGCCCGTCCTCCCCCCCCATGTCCTCGCCCTCCTCCATCACCTCAGCCTCTAGCTTCGCCTCTTCCTCCCTTGCCTCCTCTGCCGCCCCCCCGTTGCTCTCCAAGTTTCCCCGAAGTGCTTCCACTGCTGCCCCTAACACCGCTGTAGGCCCGGTTTACTCCGACCCTACAATAGCACCCTCCAGTCGCAACAGATTCCCCAGGCCTCACGCTGAACCTGCCACGTCTACAGGTTCGGCAGGCTCCTCCACGTCGCCGCCACTTGTCAGGTCCGTTACTGCTTTGGGGTCAGGCCCGGGAGGCCTTGGCTCGGCCCATGGCAAGCCGGCAGGTTCGGGGCGCAAGCCAGTGGATATATCTCAGGCTCTGAACAACCTGCTGTCGCTGCTAAGCCCGGAGGAGCAGCAGAAGCTGAAGCAGTCATGGAGCCTTCTAGACAGCGGCGCAGCAGCAGGGGGAGGAGGAGGTGGGGGAGGGGGAGGTGGCGCAGGGGGCATGGGCGCAGGGTTGTTGCTAGCGGGGGAGGGAGGGGAGGGGGTGCATAAGCAGCTGAGCGCGCAGCAGGAGCAGCAGCAGCAGCAGATGCGGCTGCAGCAGGTGAAGCAGCAGCTGCTGCAGCAGAGGGGCGGGCAGGTGGGGGGCATGGGGGGGAGGGGAGGGGGCGCAGGGGGAAGGGCAGGGGGAAGGGGAGGCGGAAGGGGGCACAGGCGGCAGCGGACAGAGGGTGGGCTGGTTCTGGGCGGTTTCGGTGGGGATCTGGGGTTGGGGGAGACGGGGATAGAGGGGGGGAAAGAGTGGGCGGAGAGGGGGGTGGATGTGAGGGAGGGTGGGGGAGGGAGAGGGGTGGGGGCGGCAGGGAGAGGAGGGAGAGGGGGAAGAGGGGGGCGAGGGTCACTGGATGACTGGGATGGGGGGTTGGGGCGGACAGGGGCAGGTGATGTGAAGGGATTGCAAGTCCTGGGACCAGAAGGGACGGCTGGAGCAGCAGCAGCAGGAGGAGCAGGGGGGGGACGAGGAGGGGGAGGACGGGGGGCAGCAGGCGGGAGGCTAGGAGCAGTACGGGCGGGGGGAAGAGGGGGGGCGGGAGGGGAAGGGAGGGCAGGGAGGGGGCGGCACCAGCGCACGCGGTCGGACTTTGTGATTGGCGGGGTGGATATGAGCCTTGACCTGGGCGCGGGGTTGGGGTTGGGGGTGGGGGCGGGAGTGAGCAGTACAGGGCGTGCTAGCATGGATGGTCCTGGGCTGGCCAGAGGGGCAGGCAGAGAGTGCAGCGGCGCAAGAGAGGGTGCAGGGCGGGAAGGGGCGGGGAGGGCGCAAGCAGCAGGTGGGTTGGGTGCGGTGGGGAGGAGTGGGGGCGGCAAGGGGGAAGGCGAGGAGCGGAATGGGCGGCTGCTGCGGAGCCGGTCGGGCGCTGCTGGGCTGCTGGAGGCTCATGGGGACGGGGAGAGGAGCGAGAGGAGCGAGAGAGGCGAGCATGAGAGGCGCGGGAGGGGGGGCGAGGAGGACAGGAGTGTGTCGGTGGGGCGGCGCAGGGAGGTGGGGTGGGCAGACCTTGATGCGGAGGTGCAAGGGAAAAGGGGGGATGCGAGAGGTGGGGGGGAGGCGAGAGGCATGGGGGAGGCGAGAGGCATGGGGGGGAGGGAGACACTGTTGCGAGCAAGGTCGTCCCGGGAAGGTGGAGCGCGCGGGCTGCTGCTGGGTGATCTGGAAGGGGGTGCAGGGGAGGAGTGCACAGGCGGGGCAGCAGCAGCAGCAGCAGCAGCAGCAGCAGCAGCAGCAGCAGCAGCAGCAGCAGCAGCAGGTGGGGCAGGGACGGGGGCGGTGGGTGGGGGGAGGGCGCGGGGGGAGCTGACGCGATCCCGGTCTCAGAAGGAGGGGGGTTCCCGAGGGGTCATGTTTGCTGATACGGTGGAAGATTCGTGGAAGGAGCAGGCTAGTGAGGGAGTGAGGAGGCGACTGTCGGATCCACCGCGCGACCATCACAGTCAAGATCAAGCGAGTCAAGCAAGTCAAGCAAGTCAATACAGTCAAGGCAGTCAAGAGAGCCAAGCAAGGCGGCATGCAAGAGAGGCAAGCGAGGACATGGGGGACGATGTGGTGGACGCCAGGCCCCTCGTGCATGTCCCCGCCCCGCTGCTGCCGCCCTCCCCCCGCCTGTCCCTGCCCAGTCAAGCCAGTCAAGGCAGTCAAGGGACGCAGCCAGGGCAGCAGCAGCAGCAGCAGCAGCAGCAGGGTGAGGGGGGGTGGGAGCCGAGGCAGCAGGGGGCGCAGCAGGGGGTGCAGCAGCAGGGGGGGCGTGGGGGGAGGCATGCGAGGGAGGATTCAATGGATCTGGACGACGACGTTGTGAATGCCGTGCCGCTGGCGCCTCTAGACCGGGCCACTGCTGTTGTGGATGAGGAGGAGGAGGAGGGAGGTGAGTCGGCGAGTGAGAAGGGCAGCCAGGGGGTGAGCGCGGGGAGGAGTGGCGAGGGGGAGGAGCAGGAGGGGCGGCAGCAGCAGGGGCAGGTGCAGCAGCAGTCAGGGGGAGCAGAGTTGGTGCATTCACCACGGGTGATATCGCCGCGACTACCAGCAGCGGCAGGGGGGGCAGGGTTGGGGGCGATGGGACTTGCAGCAGCAGCAGCACGGCGGCAGCAGCATGTGAACCCGTGGCAGCAGACGCGCGAGATGGAGGACATTCTAATGCCCTCCCGCGACCTCTCTCCCGCCCGCCCCTCCTCCTCCTCCACTGCTGCTGGTGCCGGTGCTGCCGGCGGTGCGGGCAGGGGCAAGGGCAGCAAGGCAGGCAGCAGCAGCAGCAGCGCTGCAGTGCTGCGGTCGACATCAGTGAGAGAAACCTCCTCCACACGCCCGGGCTTCTCTGTTGAAGTGCCCTCGCACCCTCACCACCACCACCCCATGCACAACCACATGGGAGCAGCAGCCGTGGCATCAGCGGCAGCAGCAGCAGACAAGGACGGGCAGGTGAGTTCCCGAGGGAGCTCCCGACCCGACACGCCCGCCTCACGGCCAGACACGCCCGCCTCACGGCCAGACACGCCCTCATCACCGGGGTTCATCATGACTCCCCGGGGGGGCCTGCGCCTGTCACGGCGCCTCATGGGCGTGGAGGGCGCAGATGACCTTATGAGAGCTGCTCTTGCCCGCCTGCAGCACCACTCCCACGCCGCCCCCTCAGGTGCCTCCTCAGGTGCTTTTCCAGGTGCTGTTGTGTCGCCGAGACGGGAGGGGGAGGCGGCTGTGTATGGCAGCTGGGCGGGAGGAGGGCTGGCTGAGAATGCTGCCGACTCGCTACAGTCCCTTGCCGCCCAGGTCTCTGCCGGCCGGTTGCCGGCCAGGCCAGGATCTAGTGGAGGGAACGGACCAGTTACTGTGGCTCCACCTACAGTGGCCCCTGTCGCCCGGCCGTCCTCTCGCCCAATGGCGATGCGGCCGACAACCCTAGATCTTCCTGCCGGCCGGCCAGGGTCACCATTGGCTAGCGGGTCAATAGCAACAGCAGGAGGAGCAGGAGCAGCAGGTGGTACCGGCACGCACCCCTTGCATCTGCCCTCTGACTCTCTGAGTCCTCCCTTCTCCAGCAGTCTCTCTCCTGCTGGCCTCAGCTCCCCCGAATCCGCCCTCTCTAGCCCGCCCCTGGCCGAGGTTGCAGTGTGGGCGCCGGGGGAAGGGGGAGGTGTGGGCATGGAGAGAGTGGGGTCCGGTGGGGGTGCTGTGGGGGGTGGAGGTGAGGGGCTGTCGTTCTGGGGGCATGGGAATGACCGGAACAGCGGTTACCACAACCACAACCACTATCAGCAGCAAAATCAGCAGGATGAGCATCAGCAACAGCAACAATGGCAACAACAAAGTCAACAGCACCAGCAGCAGCAGCAGCAGGAGCAGCAGCAGGAGCAGCAGCAGCAGCGGCAGGGGGGGAGATTGGAGCTGGGTCAAGGCCCATGGCTGGGAGCAGCAGCGAGCGAAGCAGAGAGGGAAGCAGGAGGGGGAGCAAGCACAGGAGGAGGGGAGGTGTGTGGGAGCCCAGAGGGGTCGGTGGGGGTGTGCTCGCTGGTGGACGTGTGCTCGCCCGTGTACAGTGCAGATGAGGGCAGCATTGTCCTGGGCGGCGGCGGGCGGCGGTTGTCACGGCACTCCAGCCGGGCGTCCATAGGGTCGCCGGAGGGCGGGGCGGGCGGGGGGAGAGGGGGGAAGCGGGGCGCGTGGGGGGTTGGGGCGATTTTGGAGGGCGGGGAGGGGGGGGTGAGTGGGGGAGGGGAAGCAGACGCGGAGGGGAAGCGGGCAAGGGCGAAAGTGGGGGAGAGGAAAGGGGAGGGGGAGGAGGGTGAGGAGGGGGAAGGAGAGGCGCATGGAAGAGGCAGTCAGGAAGCCGATGCCTTTGAGTTTGACATGGACGATGCTGACGTGGCTGCAGCCCGGGATGGCCCGGCTGGCGCTGACGTGGCACTGGACGGCCGGCCCTCGGCCAATGGGGCACTGCCAGGGGGGATGGGTGGGGACATGGGGAGCAGCAGCATGGGCATGGATGGTCACATGCATGGGGCCATGCATGGTGATGGCTCGTCACACATGATGATGAATGGCATGCCCATGCCCCCACCTAATGGTGCCCCACAATTTCCCGGGCAGGTCTTCCCCCCCGGGATGATCCCAGACATGAACGGGCAGCAGCAGCTCATTCCCGGGCAGATGTTTCCGGATCCCTCTCAGCCCTTCCCCCAAGGAGACCAGCACTTTCCCTTTCCCGGGCAGCCCTTCCCTCTGCCCGGATACCCATTCCCTCTCCCCGGGCAACCCATGCCGGACGGCATGCAGGGGCAGCTTCCTCCCGGGCAGTTTCCCGGGCAGCCGCCGGAAATCCCCGGCTTCCCGGGCGGGTTTCCGGGCGGCATGCTGCCGGGGCAGCTGGGCGGCATGTTGCCGCCCGAGATGCTCCCGGGGCTACAGTGCCCGCGGTTCATCCTGCGGCGGCCTTACCGCAGCATAGAGCGCGAGTACATGCTGCAGGAGAGGGCGCCCCTGGGCACGGGGCAGTTTGGCATCATCCGCAGCTGTGTGAAGCTCAAGACCGGGGAGGTGCTGGCGTGTAAGAGCATCAGCAAGAGCACCTTCCAGGTCAGTACACCCGCTTTCCAGGTCAGCAAATACCCTTTGTAAGTCAGCGATGCCGTACAGGGCTATGGCATGCATTTCATTACAGCATCAATTGTGGTGCCTGCCTCCCTGAATTCCACTCCTTTTACACATGTAACTCATCACACACACCATCACACACACCATCACACACACCATCACACACACCATCACACACACCATCACACACACCATCACACACACCATCACACACACCATCACACACACCATCACACACACCATCACACACACCATCACACACACCATCACACACACCATCACACACACCATCACACACACCATCACGGGCCTAAACCCTTCGCTGCATGCCGTGCTATCTCATCCCAAACATTACCATGCGACACTAAGCCACTCCCCACCATGTCCCACCACGCTCCACCACACCCCGCCACTCTGCACCGCACCCCACCATGCAGTACGCGGACGATGCGGAGGCGGTGGGCATGGAGGTGGCGGTGATGGAGATGCTGAACGGCCACCCGCACATCATACGCATGCGCGATGCCTTCGAGGACTCCCGGGTGAGTTAGCCTTGCAGCGAATGGGGCGTTTGAGGTGTTAAGTTGCTCTGCAGCACCATCCCCCACCACCACTTTTGTTTCTCGGAATAGTCTCCAAGTTGACTTCTATTGACTTTCTTGTTCCATTCCATTCAATTCCACTTGCTTAGCCGCTCAATATTTGTATCCCTCCTCCCTTTCAGCACACCCCCTTCCCCCTTCCCCCTCCTCCCCCTTCCCCCCAGGCCCCCCCCCAAGGACGTGCACATTGTGACGGAGATTTGCACGGGGGGCGACCTGGAATGTGTATTCCGAGTCAGCTCATAGCATCCACCCCCCACTCCTCCCACGCCCCCCTCCCCTTCCCCTCCCCCCCAGGACGTGCACATGGTGATGGAGATGTGCGCGGGGGGCGACCTGGGGGGCCGACCTGCAACGCGTATTCTGGCTCTACCTCACTTATGCCCTCCGCCAATCCCCCCCTCTCCCTTTCCCCCCCTCCCCTCCCACAATACAGGACGTGCACATAGTGATGGAGATGTGCGCGGGGGGCGACCTGGGGGGCCGACCTGCAACGCGTATTCTGGCTCTACCTCACTTATGCCCTCCGCCAATCCCCCCCTCTCCCTTTCCCCCCCTTCCCTCCCACAATACAGGACGTGCACATAGTGATGGAGATGTGCATGGGGGGCGACCTGCAGAGCGTACTATGAGTGGAATTATATCATTTCCCACTGCCCCTTCTCACTCCCCTCCCGCCCACCCTGCCCTTCCGTTTCCTCAGGACGTGCACATAGTGATGGAGATGTGCACGGGGGGCGACCTGCACGACCGAGTGAAGACGCACGGGCCGTACAGCGAGGAGGGCGCGGCTGCGGTGCTGCGCGGGCTGGTGGAGGCGCTGCTGTGCTGCCATGGGAAGGGCGTTATGCACCGCGACGTCAAGCCCGAGAACGTGCTCATCTGCGACACGCAGGACGACACACGGGTCAAGCTCATTGATTTCGGGGTCGCCACGTTTATCGAGCCAGGTGCGGGGAAGGGTGGGTAGTGGCTGAGTGCGGTGCGATGCTTCTGTGTTATGTGCACAGTCTGTCGGCATTGCCATGCCATGTGCACCCCCCTGCCCCACGGAGGCCGGGGCGGCGTGCGTGTTGCCACGGGAAGGGCGTTATGCACCGCGATGTCAAGCCCGAGAACGTGCTCATCTGCGACACGCAGGACGACACACGGGTCAAGCTCATTGATTTCGGGGTCGCCACGTTTATCGAGCCAGGTGCGGGGAAGGGTGGGTAGTGGCTGAGTGCGGTGCGATGCTTCTGTGTTATGTGCACAGTCTGTCGGCATTGCCATGCCATGTGCACCCCCCTGCCCCACGGAGGCCGGGGCGGCGTGCGTGTTGCCACGGGAAGGGCGTTATGCACCGCGATGTCAAGCCCGAGAACGTGCTCATCTGCGACACGCAGGACGACACACGGGTCAAGCTGATCGACTTCGGAGTCCCCACCTTCATCGAGCCAGGTGTGGGGGAGGGTGGAGAGGGGCTGTTTGTGGTGCAGTGTGGTGAGGTTCGATGCTTCATTAGCAGCTGTTCCTGTGCCGTGTATATAGTGTGCGGGCACTGCCACGCCATGTGCATCGCCCCTGCCCCACCAGACATGTCATGGATGTGGTAGTCTGTGCATGCTCCCATGTACATTGCCCCCCGGGACATCTCTCTCGGGTCATCCTCGGATTTACTAGTCTGTGGCTGCTGAGGCAGCACATGGGTCTCTGTGTTGCCAGGTGTCTCCATCCATCCATCCATCCATCCATCCATCCATCCATCCATCCATCCATCCATCCATCCATCCATCCATCCATCCATCCATCCATCCATCCATCCATCCATCCATCCCTGCATGGTCCTCCCACCCCCCTGCATGCACGCCCCTGCATGCACGCCCCCTGCATGGAGTTTGTGGGCACGCCCATGTTCGTCGCCCCGGAGGTCATCACCGGCGCATACAGCCTCTGTGCTTCCCGTGAACCCCATCCTGCGTGCTCTGCCCCCCTGCATGCATCCCTGCCAGACGCGTCCTGCATGGAGTTCGTGGGCACACCCATGTACATCGCCCGGGCCTCTTTGCTGCCATGCACCCTGATCAATCCGTCCATCCCCGCATGCCCACCCCCTTACGTGCATTCTTTCAGACGCCTCCTGCATGGAGTTCGTGGGCACACCCATGTACATCGCCCGGGCCTCTTTGCTGCCATGCACCCTGATCAATCCGTCCATCCCCGCATGCCCACCCCCTTACGTGCATTCTTTCAGACGCCTCCTGCATGGAGTTCGTGGGCACACCCATGTACATCGCCCCGGCCTCTGTGCCGCCATGCACCCTAACTCATCGATCCATCCATGCACCCATCAATGCCCTGCCCCTGCCAGACGCGTCCTGCATGGAGTTCGTGGGCACACCCATGTACATCGCCCCGGAGGTCATCACCGGTGCACACGGCCCCGAGGCCGACATCTGGTCGGCGGGCGTCGTCTTATACATCCTGCTGTGCGGCATGCCGCCCTTCTGGGCGTCCACCAATGAGGCCATCTTTCAGGCCATCAAGGAGAGCGAGGTGTCCTTCTCCTCGCCGCGCTGGCAGACCATATCGGAGAGCGCCAAGAACCTTGTAAAGAGGATGCTTACAAAGGATCCCAAGATGCGTATCCTGGGTGCTCAAGTGCTCGGTGAGTGCTGGATGGGATAGGGAGGGTGTTGGGTGGTTGGGTGCGGTGGGGAGAGTGGTGGGTGCGATGGGGAGTGGGGTGGGTGGGTGGGCTCGGTTCGTGAGTGCTGGTTTGAAGGTGCCGATATTGTCTTGCTCGTGAATGTTTAACGACCACTTACACACCTCCCCTTCCCCCTATTACGCCCAACTTTCACCCCCTCAATGTGCCTCCGGCCCTCCACTCGCAATATGCAGAGCACCCGTGGGTGAAATACATGACTGATAGGGAGGAGCCGTGACCGCATGCCATGGCCATTACAGAAGTAGCCATGGCAGCACTGACAGGCATGTTCGCAACTTCACAATCTGTGCAGAGTAGGCATCCATCTAACAGCCTAGGGCCGCCCCACATTGACCTGTAGCGCCTCTCTCTGCCCTGCAGTGAAAAACGCTGCATGCTGTAACTGAGAGTTAGGCAGGGAGGCTGACATGGGTGTATGGCTTAGTGGCCGCTGGTAGAGTTAATAAAGTGAGGCTTATGGTCAAGCCTGTGCATTGCAGCGGCTTGCCGTGAAGACACTGTAATCCACACAAGGATGTGAAGTGGAGAATTTGCCCTTCATGTGAGTTGGGCATTAGTCAAGGTAGCTTGCTTACCGTCAAAGGCAATGACCTTGTCTAACAAAGGCCAGTTTGCACTGCAGCATGACAAGAGAAGAGACATTTCATTTCAGATTGTAAATGCCATTAACATACATTTCAAAACTGTACACTAAAATCTTTAGTGTTTCCTACCAATGGTGTGGTAGCAGGGTGGTCATATAACGGCTGCCATCTTGTTGGGGAACTCAGTAGCCTGCTGCACGCAGCTACGCCAGGCAAAAGACCACCACCACGTGCACACAAATGCGGCAAGTCGATGCCTTATTAGAATGTGTGTTTCTTGTACAGTTGCTAGGTGTTCTGTAGACCTTGTCTGCAGTCATCGTGCTGCTTTGGTGTGCTTCTGAATCCACGGGTGTGCTGAGCGCAAAAAAAAACAGGGGAAATAAAAAGGAGAAGATGAGAACGATGACCATATGGGGCAAGGATTTGAAAAAGGCAGTAGTAGCACCAAACTATGAACAGGAAGGTGAGCTGGCAGCTAGGTGTAGGAGTTGGTGACTCACCAAGCACTTCTCGAGCTGTGATGCGATCCAGAGGGTCCTTCTCCAGCATCCTCGTTATAAGGTCCTTGGCCTCCTCCGACACGGTCGCCCACTTCCAGTACTTGAACACCACCTTCTTCTTCTTGATCGCCTCCTCTAGCGTCCGATTGGACGACTCCCAGAAGGGAGGCACACCCGAGAGCATCACATAGAGCGACACACCCGCGCTCCACACATCAGCCTCGTAATTGTAACACTCGTCCAGCACCTCCGGTGCCATGTACTCCGGCGTTCCCGCCATTTCCCGGCACATTGCACCTTCCTCGAGAACTGTAGCCACGCCGAAGTCGATGAGTTTTATAGGGACGTTCTCGCTGGGGCTACAAAGGAGGATGTTTTCGGGCTTGATGTCACGGTGGAGAATCCCAAGGGAGCGGCAGTGGAGCAGGGCTTCCAGGAGCTGCTTTAGCACTAGAGCTGCATCTGGCTCCGGGATTTGACCTTGTGATTTGATTCGGTCAAAGAGATCACCACCCGCGCAGAGCTCCATCACCAAGTGGATGGCCTTGTCGTCTTCAAAGACCTCTTGAAGAGTGATCACTGAGGGATGGCCGCGAAGCATCGCGAGGAAGGTTACCTCCCTTCGCACATCATCAGCATCCTCGATTGTCTGCAACGACAGAAGGAAACAGGATTCCTGGTCAAGTGAGGAGATAATAATGCCTTCAAGAAGGAAAATGAATACTAGGGTTGCAGCCATGTAGATTTTCACAGTATACTGTAGCACGTCTGAACTCACCTCAATGGTCTTCTTCAGTATTGTTTTACACGCGTACACCTGCCCTGTGGCGCGCTCCAAGCAGGTTCGGATGGTACCAAACCTGCCTTCGCCAATCTCTTTCTTCCCAAGAGAGTATCGCCCCTTGATATCGTCGTAGGGCAACCGAAGCACGAAATCGGTCGGCTTTAAATTCGGCACAGCTGACTCGAGCGCGCCTTGTAGCTCGAGGCCTCCCAGACCAAGGCTCAGGTTTCCCCACTTAGGCCCGTGTAAGCCCGTGCCTACATCCGAGTCTGCTTGATTACCCCAGCTGAAACCTGCTGCACTCGCTTCCGCACATGCCAAAAGCGCCGCCTCGAACGCTTCCCACCGCGCGCAGTTACCGCTGCCTCCTGCTGTCACACTGCCGCTGCTGCTGGTTCGCGAGTGCGAGCGGAACCCCGCGAACACGTCCAGCTGGCTCCCGCTGTTGTACTTGCGCGCGTGCCTCGGCTGTTGCTGTTCTGGCCGAGCCCCTCGTGCTTTGGGCCCAAACGGAGTCCCTAGTTCGGCAGCAGCTTGCGGTTGAGGGTACCCGAGGCTCGATGCGTTTCCGTGATCAAGGCTGGGTGCAGTCGGGCTCGAGCCGGCGTAGCGTTCATTAACCACCGAGCCAGTGCGATACACGCTTTGCTTTGAAGTAGCACGGGGCACGGCTGGCGGAAGTCTGTCCTTGGCGGACAAAGAGGGAGGGGACGACGATTGGAAGGACGGCACGGACGCGCAGCTTGGGAACTGCGGGGACTCGCGGCGTTTGCGCGGCAGAGGCGCGTTGCGGGGGGGAGTGCCGGAACGGAAACCTTGACTGGGCGGAGTGAAAGCGGAGTGCGAATCAGACGCCATTCGCGACCTCAACATGGGCTTTCCCGCGATGGGCTGCTGCGACGGCATCAGCTGCTCTCTCAACGTCTGCGCGCCTTCCGCGTCGCCCGCATCCTCGTCGGACTGCGCGCCGTATAAGTCGCTATCCTCGGCCTTGTCGTTTCGCATCTTCGGCATCAACACGTTTCCGACTCTTCCCCACCCCCGCATGTCACTACCAACGTCCGCCTCCTGACCTTCCCAGCTGCTGCAAAGCGATATACCGCTCGCGCTGCTCCCCTTCGCCCCTCGTCGACTCGTCCCCGGCGCGGCTCGCTCGTCCGCTCGCGCGCGATTCTTCGCGCCAATCCGATCGTTTCGCTGCTGGAAAACGCCAAGCTCGTCGGCGTTAGCGGCCAGCATCTCGTGCAGCAGCTCCCGCGGCAAGTCGTCGAATTCTTGGAAGAACCTCAGGTCGATTCCGCCCACGCCGCCGTTCACCTTCGTGCTCAATACGCCCGTGGGCCTCACACCGCCACCACCGCCGCCGCCAGCAGCTCTGTTCGACAGCCCCGCCTGCCGCGTGTCGGCCAGCAGCTCGTCCACGCTGACCATCCGGTGGTGAGCCTTGCCGCCAGCGCCGATGCGCCCAGCCACGACTTGCCCCCGAGCCGCGCGCTGCCGCCCAGCTTTTTTTGCCCGACCTCCCGCGGAAACCGCCTCTGCCTGCGTCCTTTCCGCCACGCCAAGCCCCGCGCTGGCCGACTGCGGCATGCGCTCGTTACTCTTGCGCGGCGCCTCGGGCTTCTGCCAGTCCTCGAGTTCCCATTGGATGCCGCGCGCGCTGCACTCCTCCATCAGCTGGCGCGCCGACGCCACCACATCCATCGCCGCGCCGTACGGCGACGTCTGCTCGGCGGCGAGCGCCGTCGGTGACAAAGAATAATCCGCGGGGTCGACGCCGCTGGAGACGCGTCGTCCAGGCGTGAGAGCCGCTGAGACGAACGCATGCTCGTCGAGCGACAGACGTGGAGCGTGAGAGGCGCGGCGGGGGCCCCTGGCGGCACCCGAACCACCGAGGGGTTGGGCGGACGGAGGCCGGGACAGCCGCGTGGATTGTCGGCGACGGGCGGGCGACAGTCCGCCGTCACCGCCTGGCTGGATACAAAAGTCCCCGGAGCGGGGCACGCCGCGGGGCGGCAACAGTGCGGGCGCTGGGCTGGATAGTGAATGGGGAAAGAGCAAATCCGCCTCGCTGCCACGCCGTCGCAGCGCGTTTCTGTGATTTCCCTCCCGCTGTCGCAGCGGCGACCGGACCGGGGACAGCGACGGCCCGGCGTGGGAGGAAGCCCCGCTCTCCTCGTTTCTTTCGAGAAGAATCTGGCCGCAACTCACGGCACTGCGGGGAGTTCCATGTCTCATGCGCGAGACGGGAGGAGCATGGTTTGTTGGCTGATAAGGAGGAGAAACGTGAAGCTCGGTTGCGGATCGTTGCCGGCGGTGCTGACTGCGGTGACTTTCAGTCAATACCGTGGGTGCGGGATACCCATAGCAGCGATCAAAGGGGCTTTGCTCGTCAAGCGCAGTGCCTCGGCGCGGCGCTTCGAGACTAAGCATATTGCTATCCGAGGATACGGTGCGATGATGACATGACGACTTCTCTGCGCGCGGCCTAAGGGACTGAAGCTCGGGGGTCGAGAAGAGACCGTAACTTGGAACGCTAGGAAAGACTTGCTCGTTCGAAGGAGGCTCGTGCGAGGTGATACTACGGGGATGAGAGCCCAACATTGAGTGGTACTGTAACTCCCTGATGTTACAAGTGATAATGTAGAGTCACCGCTCTTCAGGTGAGACGCGTAAAGCCAGGAGAATCATAGGAACAGAACTCAACATTGGGTGACATCGAGTGAGGGAGGAGGTGCAGTGCGGAGTAAAATTCGTCGGACAAAGAGAACAGCTGGCAGTTCGAAGTTACGCGGCAGCGAGGATCACAAGAGATACTCAACGGGGAAGAGTCGATCTGTGGCGAGGAAACGAAATTATTCCCCCAAAAGGACAGTGTGAGTAGGGTAGCGTCGCTCAGGGGGGCTGCTGTATGGGGCAATGGAGAGTGGTGGAAAATCGATTAGTAATGCTGCTTTTTCAAGAATTTAATCGCAATGCTGCTGCTTGCATTGCATTTCTTTGTCGTTGTCTTCATTTTCAAGCCGGCGATGCGAGAAATGGGATGAGATGGGACTGTTTTGGCACGCTTCCGACATTCATGTCTGGCGTCGCAAGCAATGTCGGTCGCATGTACCAGGGGCCGAAAAGGCATATCCATATCTGTATCAACGACAGCTGCTTGAAACACATATATGTGGGTCTGTGGGATGTGATGTGTGCAAAATGCTGCCCGTCTCTGGACGCATGTGTGGGAAGTAGGGATGTACCACTGCAACACGGCTGGCATTGCATTAGGGGATGTATGGACCTGTACACCATTCTGTGGATGTACGTACCTTACACCTGCCCCCACCTTCAACGCGTGAACTGGGCGGCGGCCATACGACCACTTCGGGCTGAACTTGTTTCGATCAGAGGAATTCGCTTCCTACTGTACTATTTTCCTGTCTGGAAACGCAAGTCGTGAAGGTACAGTAGTACTCAAATATGTGCAGCCAAACCCTGAAGTCAGAACCTATATCCTGCGATCACGCTTCTCCTCCATTGCTCCATAAGGATTGTGAGTCACGATTGTTTTTTCCGGGCCTTCGGGTGAAAATATGTAAAATACGTATGGAGGAGAACTGCTCTTTCATGACCGAGGGAAACAATTGGCCCTGACTGGGTGGATGGGGCTATCCGTGCAGCAAAAAGTGTAAAATTCTTACACTATATGTGTGTTATAGAATGTCAAATATTGTATCAATCAGCCACTCATACAAATGCAATTTGAGGCTAAATTGAGGAATTGATATGTAATACTTCAAAATTCACAATCAATACAATAGTAATAAGCTTTCCAACGTCAAATTTCGTTTTAATGAATTAAATTAGCTCTTAAATTGTCTCTCTATAGTTTTAAATAGTTCTTCAACTTTTAATTGTTATTCATATAACATACCAGTAAGAATATAACGTACAGATAGTACGATGGGAACTATCCGATCGTACACTTACGAACTGAGTTAGGCGCGGCTGTTACCTGTATGTTAGGACTTTCCGTGTTTGATTCTGATTCGGGCTGGAACAAGACTGTGAATTACGTGTACCGGTCCTCTGTTTTTAGGGGCACATTTCATCCCGTCAAACCAGGGAAGGGAATGGTAGCAGCTGCGGGACCTCGAAATGAGATTGCAAGAGTACAAATGTTCTGGGTTAGAGGCCGTCGCTGAAAGAGTCCCTTTTCCCCCTTGAGTAGAGTTTTCCGATATCGCCTAGGTTTGGCCCGACCCCTATAGTCCCTTTTTTGGCGGGAAATTTTGCAGTTTGACCGAATCATTGCACGAATCAGCTCCGCAGCCAATCAGAGGCTCCAGATCGAACCAGCCCCAACATTCAGGGAAAACTATAAATAAGGGATTATCGACTCGATATTTAGTGAATTGTAAGTAATTGTTTCACTTGACCGTGATTACTTCTCATTCCTGTCGCGTGATCTCCTACGCGCTCGACGATGACATCTCATTTATCTCACTTACAGGGTAAAAACAGAAGTTTTTACCTTCTATTCGACCCCCAAACCATAACCGATTTTGTTTTGTTTTGCCCGTCAGTCATGTGACATTGATCAGCGCGGGGAACCGTGCGACGAGAAGTTGAAGCAAGCGTGGTCCGAATCTACGTAAAAGACGAAATTTAAAAACTAGTAGCAAGCAAACCACTCTAACCACTCTCCATGAAAGTTTCCTGAACGGGACTATAAGTATCGCGTTTTGCCCGGGGTTTGAAGGTTTTCGCACATAGTCCGCGCGCGGCGTATCAGTCCGTCGGACTATAAACGAGAACATTTGTAGCACCAGTACACAGGATGCTCAACGACTGCACGTGAATTTGGTCTTCCCAAGCTCGACAGCCTGCCCAATTGCAAGTAGTACCAGCCAGTTGCACGCACGATACAAGCCCCTATTTTGATCGCAGCCGTTGAACAGGCAGCTTATCACGCTGGCATCCGTCCGTTCGAGAGATATTTTGAAGAAGATGGTTACATTTCTTCACCTGCCCACTACAGTCCCGATTTTGCCCGTGGCGAATGTTGGCGAGAAAGCGAAATAGAGCTGCTCACTAAACACCCAGATGACGGGAAAAGTTGTGAGAGTCAAACGCGCTTCCTGTGTAATCGTGCGAATCGCATAAAAATGGCAGCAACCCTCTCGTCCTTTACTTGGGCCCAGTTCGGCTGCCATTAAAAAAACGGGCGAGGTGGATGGGCTACAGTGAACTGACCACCCTGGAAGGTTCTCTGATAAGCGCATGAAACGTTATCAAGGCTCGGATAGGCTGTTCTACGCCGAACCTCACAATAATGGGATGCCAGCCGAACAGACCTTTTTTCGATGGCTTTTTCAACCCATTGGTGCTGTTCGCCAGCACATCGATTCTTGAACAGAAAACGATGGCATCGGCATCGCGACCGCATATGGAAACGGGGGCGGAACCCTCCTCCGAGGTTTGGGCGTAATGCCGCCCGAGAAACTTCGCGCACACGAAAGAGGAAATTACGCAACCGCATCGGGAAGGTCCATCCCCACCTTCCCCCCTGTGGCGCGAAAGTTTAGCCTCACTGACCCTTGTGCTGCCCGCTGGCCAAAATTTGCTCAGCATGGGTAAAAAGCGCAAATAAAACACCCCCCGCTCAAACACAACCCCCGCCACCTCGTGCTCACGACCAAGTTATCTGCGGGGGGCATTTCGAAGGTGTGTTTGGGATGGAAAAATGGGGGGTATACAGAGCCCCCCTTTGTCAAACTACAGGCTTGTTCAAGGGTTGCCCTCTGAACAGCAATGCGTCGGCTGTGCCACCGCTGTGCTTTGAAAAACGCGGCATGACGATGGCATGGCTAGTGGATGGTATTTTGCCTGGGGACAAAGTTTCGTCCCCGCTTCCATATGCCGTCGAAACGTTAGAATTGGTGGACAAAAGTGGGCGTTCGCCAGACGCCCAGTTTGTTTGTTGGTTTGGACGGTAGGTGAGGCTCGGCACTTTTTTCACGGGCTGACCCGGCTGACGGAGGTAAACGAACTCTAACTGACGGGATCAGGAAGGCGAGAGGAGCATTCCTGATCCCGTCGTTATCCCGTTGTTTTTGCTATAATGGTGCTGGCGAACAGCCCCATTGATTTTTCAACAACCCCATTCTCTCTAGCAACGTGCCCATTTTCTGATCCGCCGCACCATGCGGCCTCGAGGTCCCGCACCAGGGCCCAGTTCGGTAGGCATTATGGCCATTTTCGCCATTATGGGCATTTTTAATGGGCCCCCAAAAAATGGCGCTTGGGCATTTCTAGAAACAACTTAGAAACTGGACTGTAGCTGCAGTGCACCTTCGGAAAAATGGTATGAGTGTTCGGTTGGCATTAATTGGGTGTAGATTGATGGCATCAATCGAGATTCCGGGTTTCGCAGAAGGTGTTCGAAAGTTGCCTTGATGGATCGCGTCCTCATGTGATTGGCTGGCATATTTGACCAGTCACTTTTGATTGCCCCGAATCACTGATACCCCGCATGGTGCGGGGCCTCGGGGCCGCATGGTGCGGCGGATCAGAAAATGGGCACTTTGCCAGAGAAACTGGGTTCGTGGAAGATTCGGGCAGTTGAAAACGCCTGCAAAAAAAAGGGTGTTCGGGAGGCATTCCATTATTGTCTGGCTCGGCGATGATCCGCTTATATCGAGCCAAGATAACCCTTCACGCGCTTATCAAAGAAGGTTCCAGGGTGATCGGTTTACTGTAGCCCATCCGCCGAGGCCCTTTTTTTAATGCCTACCGAACTGGGCCCATGCGGAAGATCAGTGATTCGGGGCAATTAAAAAGTGACTGGTCAAGTATCCCAGCCAATCAAATGCTCACGCGATCCATCCAGGCAACTGCCTACCAACTTCTGCAAAAATATATTTCGATTGATGCCATCAATCTAAAGCCAATTAATGCCAACCGAACACTCAAGCCCGTTTTTTCGAAGGTGCACTGCAGCTCCAGTCCGATTTCGAAGCTGTTTCTGGAAATGCCCAAGCGGCATTTTTTGGGGGGCCCGTTAAAAATGCCCATAATGCCAACAATGGCCACAATGCCATCCGAACTGGGCCTTGATGAAGGGTAGAGTCAAGGAAGGCTCCAGCTTGTGCCACCTTGAAAATAAAGTTCGTTGGTACACAGCCAAACGAACCGGCCAACGAACGGTTGAGTTTGCGACCGAAAAACATGCGTGTATGAACAACCCACCAAGCACCTGAGAGGGTTGCGGTAACAATCAACCAGAAATGTATGAGATCTTTCGAAATCTCCAGATCCCTCTTTCAAGACCTGAACAGAAATGTCCAAAGCAGAGTGTTCGCCTTGTTTTCCCTGAATACCAAAAGGGTTTAATTTCATATCCGGGCGGGATCCGATGGGTTTGTTTTACCCGAGCCTGTCAAAAAAGGGCGGGTTTTGAGCCTTTTCTATCCTAAAGGTGTGTTACATTTTTTTCTATCCTTCGAACTCCCTCTTCTCACTGCACGAGGGTCACTGGTAGAGCAGACGTTGGAAATCACCATTTCGAGGTCCTGGCACATTGCGAGGGACCAGCTAGAAGGGCGCTTGGAAGCAGTTCTCTCTTTTCATCTCGAGCCACTCTTCCAAATCAGGGTTCCCTCACCCGCAACCCGGTCGGGTGACCAGTGACGAAAACAGGGAAGAGGCAGGCAAGTATTGAGTTGTGAGAGAACCATTCGTACTTCACCACATTTCGATATTGTGAGGTGTTCATGGCCCTGAAAATGATGGATTTACGGCCAAGTCCTTGTCAGTCTTGGCCCATTTGAGAGTACCATGCGGTAATAGGTAAACCTGGCCATGTCCCGGGTTACAGATACAGTATAATATAGGTAACAGTCACAAGGCTGCACGAATGGTCGGGAGATAAAACATCAATACCCTGATTTGCAGAGCATTCCGGCAGAGGAAAGGCCTGCTTGGAAGTTGAGGTTTGGTGCAGGTTGGACACGCGAAGTCAGCACGCGACAAAAGGTGGCTAGTCAAAGAAGCCTGGACCGTTCTTGCTCTTCCGGAAGTTGGAGTTGTAGAGTAGATGGTGTAGCTTAAACCCAGTTAGAGATGAAGTTTGATTTAAACTTAAAAAAAAATGTTTTTTTTTTTCGATCTACAGTAGCCAAATGACTGATCTGGAATGTCACTGCCCGGTATCTGTGAAATACATAATGTAAAAAATCGTGTTAGCTCTTTGAATAAGATAAGTAGCTGCACATTGCAGCTTGCAAAGCACGTGCAAGTATCTAGTGCGGCAACGGGTGTGGTTCCGATTATTCAAAGCAGTGAAGCTGAAGCGCAATAAAATTACACACCTGCATGCTGGCGAAAGCTATGCCATGGCCACGGGTGTCACTGGAAGCAACTAAGAGTACCGTATGTACAGTGGCCCGGTGGGCGATGTTAGGTTAGTCATCAAATGCATGTGCCTTAATCCAAGGATGCTCTGCCAATGCACACACAGAGACCAAACACAATCATATATTAGCCGCCATTGAAAGCCCCTGTCAAAAGAAAAAAAACCTCTGGCATGGAAAAAAAAGAGGTACTGCACACAAATGACCAAATTTTCCTTAACTCTACCACAATCACTCACCAAGGACCTCCTCGCCCGTGATGCGCTCGCGTGGGTTCTTCTCCAGCATGCTGCTGATCAGCTGCTTGGCAGCACCGCTCACGCCGTGCCACTTGGGCGCCTTGAACTGCACGTCCTTGGTGCGGATGGCGTCGAATATGCCCTCGTTGGAGGCGGCATAGAAGGGTGGCAGGCTGCACAGCAGGATGTAGAGCACCACACCCGCACTCCAGATGTCTGCTTCGGGGCCGTATGAGCCCGCCAGCACCTCGGGCGCCATGTAGTACGGCGTGCCTATCAGCTCCGTTAGCACCTCTCCTGGTGGGAGGGGAGAGAAGGGGTGGGGAAGGGGGAGATAGAAAGGGGGGTGGGGGGTGGCTGGACGCATGAGAGGGGCTGTATGCCCCAGCCAGCACCTCCGGCACCATGTGGTATGGTGTGCCTATCAGCTCCGTCCTTGCCTGGGGGGAGGGGGAGACGGAAAGGGGGGAGAGGAGAGGGGGGATGGGAAGGGGGGTGTGGGGGATGGATGGACGCATGAGAGGGGCTGTTGTGGTCTCCGGACTGGCATGGCTCTTGGAGCAGCTGCTGCTGGTGTGGAATCAGAGCGCAGGGGAGCATGATGGTGGCTTGGGCGGAACCTCAGCAGCCATTGCCAAGTCAGTGACCTCAGGGCAGTGGGCAGAGGGCAGAGGAGGAAGGAAGGGGCAGCACGTGGGCACAGGCCGCATGATGGTGGAGCGGGCAGTACCTGGGCGGACTTCAGCGGCCATGCCGAAGTCAGTGAGGCGGATGTCAGTGTCATGCCCGCGCTGCTTGAGCAGAATGTTCTCCAGCTTCACATCGCGGTGCACCACGCCCTTCTCATGGCACCACAGCAGCGCCTCCACCAGCCGCTCCGTGATGGCTGCCGCACTGCGCTCGCTCAGCCTGCCGCCCGCCTTTACGCGGTCAAAGAGATCGCCGCCCCGACAGATCTCCATTATGATGTGCACGTGCTGGGGGAGCGGGACGAGGGGGGAGACGGAAGGAGGCGGTGTCGAAAGGTTTAGGGAGGTGAATTGGAGAGATGGGCAGGGAATGCTGAGGGGAGGTGGCAGTGGCAAGGGTGAGAGATGAGGTGGCATGGCAGTGCCAGTGGTGGTGTGTGCTCCCCACCATGCCCTCCCTCCACCATGTTTTTCTGCCCCCTCACCACACCAGCTCCCTAACACACGTGTGGGCATGCGTGAGCATGTGACGATGTGCGGGTGGATCTTGACGATGTGCGGGTGGATCTCGACGATGTGCGGGTGGATCTCGACGATGTGCGGGTGGATCTCGACGATGTGCGGGTGGATCTCGACGATGTGCGGGTGGATCTCGACGATGTGCGGGTGGATCTCGACGATGTGCGGGTGGATCTCGACGATGTGCGGGTGGATCTCGACGATGTGCGGGTGGATCTCGACGATGTGCGGGTGGATCTTGACGATGTGCGGGTGGATCTTGACGATGTGCGGGTGGATCTTGACGATGTGCGGGTGGATCTCGACGATGTGCGGGTGGATCTCGACGATGTGCGGGTGGATCTCGACGATGTGCGGGTGGATCTCGACGATGTGCGGGTGGATCTCGACGATGTGCGGGTGGATCTCGACGATGTGCGGGTGGATCTTGACGATGTGCGGGTGGATCTCGACGATGTGCGGGTGGATCTCGACGATGCGCGGGTGGATCTCGACGATGTGCGGGTGGATCTCGACGATGTGCGGGTGGATCTCGACGATGTGCGGGTGGATCTCGACGATGTGCGGGTGGATCTCGACGATGTGCGGGTGGATCTCGACGATGTGCGGGTGGATCTCGACGATGTGCGGGTGGATCTTGACGATGTGCGGGTGGCCGCGCAGCTGCTGCATCTGCCTCTCCCGTCAACCCTCCCCCCATCCTCCTCCCAACCTGGCTGCTCCCCCCTCCACCCACCTGCCTGTTCCCCCTCCCCACCCTCACCTGGGAGTCTTCCATGGCGCGGTGGATCTTGACGATGTGCGGGTGGCCCCTCAGCTGCTGCATCACACGCACCTCCTTCGCCACGTCCTCCGCATCCTCCTGCGCCTGGTGGGATGAGGTGGGGATGGATGGGGAGGGGGATGGATGGAGAGCGGTCCTTGTGAGGTGCACACATGCGTCATGCGCACCTCCCTTCCCCTCTTCCTCCGCGTCCTCCTGTACTTGGTGGGAGGGACGAGGGGTGGATTGGGAGACGAGAAATCGTGAGGTGCACACACATGCATACACATGCACCCATATGCTCACGCATGCCCACACATGTGTTAGCCCTCAATCTCAAATTTTGTACTTGTGTTTTTTGTATCCTAGCGTAGTGTAGGTTGCACTTTGTGATGGTTGGGTGTACACCCACACCCCAACCAAACCCAAATGTGATCACTTGCAACCTCCAACCCACCAATTGGAGATTCCAGGCGATTTCTTTGGGATTGCCTTCGATTTCCTCCCCATCCATTCCTAGCTCATTTCCGATGTATTTAAAGAGCCTTGAGCTCATTACTAATGTATCACTTCAAGCTCAAGTTCTTACAACATGCACACACACATGCACCCATATGCTCACACGCTCACACGTGCACCCATATGCTCACACGCTCACACGTGCACCCATATGCTCACACATGCACCCATATGCTCACACATGCCCACACGCATACACATGCATACACATGGGAAAACACAGCGCACGGCACACAGCACTGCCCCCATGCAGGGCTCACCAGAATGCGCTCTTTACTGATGGCCTTGCACGCCATCACCTGCCCCGTGCTGCGGCTCACACACGCACGGATCACGCCAAACTGCCCCACGCCCAGCTGCTCCCCCCCCACCTCGTACGCTTCCCCCACGTCCCTGTACGCGCGCCCCAGAATAAACTCCGCCACCCGCGCCCCCCCTGCTGCTGAGAATGACGCCGATCCCCCCTGCCCCAACCCGCCCTGCCCCACTCCCCGCCCTCCCCCTCCCCCTGCTCTGCTCTCTGCTCCTGTGCGTCGCCCTGCCTCCTCCGCGTCCCCCTCCCCTCCTCCCCCGCCCTCTCCCCCTCCCGGGCCACTCCAGCTGCTCACCTTCCGCGCCTGCCTGCTCCTCCCCCCCGCGCCCCTCTCCCCCGCGCCCACGTCCCTCCCAGGCAGCCCGGCGTTGGGGGAAGGCAGGGGGCGCGGGGACCTGCCTGCAGCGCGGGGGGAGCGCAGCCCCTCGCTGGGCGACCTGAGCCCGTCGGTGGGCGACTTGGAGCGCGCCCTGGGCGACCGCGGCGCCTCCCTGGGCGACCTGGGCCGCGCCTGCGACCATACCTGCCCGCCCCGCGCGCCCCTTCCTGCTCTGCTTCCCCCAACCCCCTCCCCCACCCCCCCCCGCTCCTCTGGCTCTGACCCAGCCTTGCGCAGCACCCTCCCCCCTCCGCCTGCGCTCCTCAGCGTCCCGCGGGGCGACTGTTCGCGGAAGGACCGCGTGCGCGCGGCAGGGCGCGCGGTGGAGGCAGCAGCGGCGCTAGACCCGCCCGCGCGGCTGGCGCTGGCGGCGCTGGAGGGGTTGGAGGAGCCCTCCTGCATGGACTTGCACCGCCACGCACCGTCCTTCACCGCTCTCGTCCTGGGCGACCGCGGCGAGCGAGCAGGCGCCTGGCGCGCGCGTGGCTGCCGCGCGCCCCGCGCAGCGAGGGGGGAGAGCGCGCGCTCCGGCCTGGGCGACTTCGGGGGGCGGCTCGGGGCGGCGACGGGGCCGTCGTCAATCAGGGGGATGTCCTCCCCGCCCTCCGCGCCGTATTGCTCGCCGCACTCCACGCTGCTCTCACCCGTGTCGTGCGCCTCCGGAGGCTCCGCGCAGGAGCCGTCCGCGGCGTGGTCGGCGCGCGCGTCAACAAGGTACGCCTCGAGCGACGGGCTCAAGGGGAGCCCCGCCAGCTGCTGCGCGTGGTGCAGCGCGGAGGGAAGGCTGTCGCTGGGCGGGGGAGGGGTGCTGTGGGGGGTGTGGTACTCCTCGCCCTCGCTGCCACTGCTGCCTGTCCCCGACTGCCCGCCAGCGCGGGTGTCTGCGCGGGTGCCTGCGCCTGCTCGAGGCGACACGGCCTTTGGAGACGACGTGGCACGGGGCGATCGCGCTGAGGGCGACAGGCGCCGGGGCGAGTGGGCGCGCGGAGAAGACGCGTCGAGGGGCCTGGCAGCTGGGGGTGCAGCGCGCAGTCGCGGTTCAGCGTGGGGAGGGGGCGAGGGGAACGGCGCTCGCTGCTCCCCCTGCCCCTTCTGCTCCGTCTGCTCCCATCCCTCGTGACCCCCCGTATCCCCAGCCGCCATCTCGTCCGCTCCTTCGCTGCTATCCGTTGCATCTTCACCGTTCATCGCCCCAGGCCCCACCCATGTTCCCCTGCTCTCCTCCGCTCCATCAATCCCCCTCTCCCTCCCCTTTCGCCCCCGGGGCGACTGTTGGCCCATTCCGCCGCGCGCACGGCCGCTCTCCGGCCCCCCTTCCTCGTTGCCCATGGTGGCGGCTGCACTAGGGGGTGACTGTATAGCGCGCGCATCTGAAAATCCTCTTCTCTCTACAACCACAGGCCGGGGCGACAGTCGCTTGTACTTGCCTTGCGCCTTCTGCCCTCGTCCCGCCGCCGCCGCGCCTGTTTCTTCCCCTGCCCTCGTCTCCGTCTCACCAGTACACATCTCCCCCTGCCCCGCCGTTGCAGCCTCACTGTCCCCTCTTACGCCTTGCCCCGCTCCATCCTCTGCTTCCGCACTCGCTGTCTCTGCGCCCTCTTCCGCCGCTCTTCCCCCTCCCTCCGCACCCATCGCCCCGCCTTCCCTGCAAGCTACCGATTCGGCGCGCTTATCCTCCCCACCTCTCGCGCCAGAACCCACTGCCGCCTGGACGCACGCCACCGTGTCGCACCCGACTCCTCCTGTGCCGCCCTTCCCCGCTTCTTCCCCCATACAGTCACTCTCCCAACAGTCACTGTCCATCTCCTCCGCAATCGCCGCGGCGGCAGCGGCGGCGGCGCTGGCGGCCTCTTTCGCGGCGGCAGCAGCCGCCTCTGCGGCCATCGCGGCGGCTTGCGCGGCCTTTGCCGCCGCCGCCGCCGCTTCCACCGCCGCAGCCGGCACGCGCCGCCGGCCCTTCCGCCCCTGCGCGGATTCCCGCCCTTCGTCGGGGGAAGAAGCCGCGGGGGCCATGGTATGGCCGCATTTGGGACAAAGCGCGGCTGCGGTCTTTGGTTGCGCTGACGCATGGCCGAGAGCGACGGCACAAGACGAGGGCGAGAATTCAACCGTGGGTGGGTCAGCAGCGAGGGCAGCAGCTGTCCCATTTCGAGTCGGTATCGCAAGCACGGGATGCGCTTGTACCAGTAGCTGCTGCTGCAGCTGCTGTTGCGGCTTGGCGCGCTGCACGGCGAGAGAGATTGCCCTGCGAATGGTTGGAATGAACCCGCCTTCTGGTGGCGATATTGGCGAAGGCGACCACGCTGGCGACGCCGAAGATGCCGGTGAACCCGGTAACTCAAGTTCGACTGGCGCTACCCTAACCGGAGCCACCGAGCCTAGAGAGGGGGTTTGGCCATCGGTAGAGAAAGGGTTGGCGAATTGCGGACTAAAAGAGGCGGGGGCGACGGTGACTGATCCGACTGCTACCGCGTTCGGGGAAAACGCTGGTACCCCTGCGTTGCTGGTCCTACCGCTGATGCCACTAGCGCCGCTCACGCCACTAGCGCTGCTTCCGCTACTGCCGCTGAAGCTGATCCCGCTGCCGTAGCTGCTGTCTCTTGCGTGGCTGCTGGTGATGCTGCCACGTCGACTCAGCGTGGTCGCGGCCAGGAGGTGCGGCAGATGTGCCTGCAGCCCCCCCAACTGGTTACTACCTCCCCGCCGGTGTCCCCCCGGCGAAACCGTCGCTTGCGCTGACATTTCGCCGTTAGCATTTTGCTGCTGCGGCAGCTGCGGAGAGTTCAAGGGCAGTCCTTCCGCAAGCGCGCGCGGGTCATCCTTTACAGTCGCGGGCTGCGCGTTCGACGGTGGTTCCAAGAAATCGAGTCGTTCTTTCTGCATCATGTTCCTAATGCGCGCCGCGTGTTCGCTCGTCCTCTCCTTCAAGCTTCCCGAGAATGAGGACGAATCGTAGCGCTGCGAAGGCGACGCCAGGAGATTCGCTCGCGGCGCTTGGTGAGTCGGCCCGATGGCCTGAGAGCGGGTTCGGCCAAGCGGCCGCCGGGACGCCTCGTCGCCCCGAAGGTATCCGTTGGTCCTGCCGCCGACAGCTTCTGGCAATGCCGCGTCTACGGCCGTTTGCTCCCCCGCCGCATCTTTCCGCCGTGTTGCGTCAGCGCCATCCACCGCGGCTGCGTCGTTGCCGCAGATTTCTAGCAAAGGCGGGAGTTGTGACAGCGGCGAGTGCGGTGGGGGAACGAACAGGGTGGGCGACGCCCAAGCTTGGTTCGCATCCCGCAAATGCGAGGTTGCTGTCGCGAGCGACAAGCTCCTACGATGGAAGGCAGCCCGCGCGTTGTCCGGATCGAACGGCAGGTCGGGATCGCGCGAGATAGTTGTCATCATCTCGTTAAAGCTTTCGTATACATTTGACAGAAGGGGTTCAAAAACTTTTGAAATTTGAAAGTTTGCCTGTGAGACCGTGAGGTGACTTTCTAAACCCAAAACCTGGATGACAAATGTATACTTCAGCTTTAACCAGGCAGCCTCCCTCTGAAACTGAAGCTGTTGCAATCTAACCTTACACGGCCAGCATCTCCTGGAACTTGCTCCTAAAGCGCAATGGATATGTAGGGCGAAGAAACTGTGCTGCAGTGAGGATGCCTTGGGCTTGGACGACGTGGGCGCGGGGGAGGGAAGGGGAAACAGTGCCATTTCTGCTGGACTGGACGGGATGGGGCTGCGCCTGCGCTGGTGGCTGGAACAGCGTGCGATCTCGAAGGTGGGGAGGGGGGCAGTGGGCAAACGACTGGCGGGGCAGGTGTTTTCCGTGTCGCCCAGTGTTGCGTAGTGCAGCAGGCTTTTTGTAGAAAATACAGTCACATTCGATCGATTGTGTAGTTTTTCGTGGCGCGTTCCTCCAATTGCCGCTGAAGGGAATGCGAGGGGACGTGTCAGGTTGGGAGGGATGGGGGAGAGGGTTTGGGGGGGAGGCGGAAAACAGAGGGGGCAGGTCATCAATGTCGCGCAAAGAATGGTCAACGTACGGCGCGCATTCCCACAGTTGTGGAGATCGCGGGAGAGGGGGGAAGGGGGGCCGACGATTTCGACAGCAATGCAGCCAGTCCAATGCGGAAGGCTCAGCCAGCAAAACGTGACCCACCCAGTTGGAGAGCTTGTCGTCGTGCGAATAATTTACTCTGCATGAAAAGAACAGCACGAAACAAGCAGCACGAGTTGCGATAAATGCAGAGGTGGTGAAATGTCGTGTTCGCTGCACTCAGTTTAACATCAGTTACGAAAAGTTCTATTCACTATATGTTTGGGATTGCATGTTTCAGTTTCCAACCGCTCACAGCTTATAGCGCGGACCTCACGTGTGTCTATTACGGCGGCACGCAGAGAACCTGGCTCCTTGCGACCTGGTAGTGATTAGAGCTGCCGCGTGATGCGCGCAGCATAGGGCCGCCATAGCTGTGACGTTCCCTATCCACACGCGATGGGGACATTAGGGTTTGAGAAACATGAAAGAAGATTGAGTCAGGTCCTGCTTGTGGTTTCGGTGCTGATCGCAGCAGCATGGGACGCGGGGATTCAGGTAAGGTTGTCACTCTGTGCTTCCTGACGTGGTCCTCCTTTCGCCAAATATCGCCATTGAATGTTTGGACTTTCGTCCGCTTTCGGGTCGACTCACTGTTTGACGAGTTGAAGTGAATCGCGCTTCGCGATCGTTGGTGGCAGGTGCACGCGGCGCGCAGCGGCAATCTCAAGGACGAGATGTTCGCGATGTTCGACGCCAAGGACGAGGGCCAGCTGTCCGACGATGATTTGCTGCTGCAATGTACGGTGTCGTCACGCTCCTTGCTTTCGCCACCCTCGTTCCTCCGTTGACCTCTTCACAGTGTTATCTTGCTGTGCCCAGCCGCATCCACCTTGCGTGGACAAGGATGGTGCTCCTCATTCCCTCTATCCCTCCCCCAACGCTTATGTGCTTCCTATCCCTGCTGCGCACATTCCCTTGCCTATCACCCCTCTTTCAGCGAAGCTCCCTTGCCTCACTCCCATCGCCCGTCGTCCCAGCTCTTCACCCTCCCTCATTCCCGCTAACAAGTCTCCCTCTTTCCGTCTTCCTTATCTCTGTCTTCCCTGCTCCTCCTTGTGCCCATCCCCCCCTGCTCATCCCTGCTGCTTCCCCCTCCTCCCGCTCGCCCCGCCCTGTCAACGCGCGTGACGATGCGCGGCTGCAGCTTGGGACGACCTGAAGCGGCCCAGCAAGTTCTATAACGGGTACAACGAGGTGGACCACTACGTCAAGCAAGGTGCGTGCGGCGTGCCCCACCCTTGAGCTTTGAGCCGTTGCAAAGCGTGTGTTTGGGCATGGCCGGATTGGCTGGTGGCATCATGTGAGATCAGATCAGATTAGATCAAATCAGATCAGATCAGATCAGATCAGATCATATCTTATCAGCTATGCAGGGCACATCTCCCTGCAGCAGCGCCACCCTGCAAATTCCATGACTGTCTCCCCCCCAGCCCTCTCCACCCTCGCTGTCCTCACTCTCGCTTCAACCCCTGTGTGACTGTATTGGGTGGTGCAATGGGGGCGGGTGGCAGGCAACCTGGCGGAGTACCTGGGGCTGAAGGCAGTGCGCGCCATCCACGTGCCCATCCCCGTCAACCTCATCTTCATTGGCTTTAATGGCTCTGGTGACCACGGTGGGTCGCGGGCACGGTGGGTGGCAATGACTGCAGGTTGCAATCTATGGACTGCACCCCCATGCAACCCCACGCACCCGCATGCACTCCCTCACTCCATGCTCACTTGTGCACACTTGTGCGCCAACCCACATGCTCAGTGCCCACGTGCATCAACTCACCCTCGAGGCACCCACCCACCCACCCACCGTGTGCATGCAGGCATGCGCATGAGGGAGGGCGACATGAGGCGGTGGCTGCAGCGCATGGACCACGTGGAGGAGCACACGCGCGCGCCCCTCAACTGGCCCTCCCTCCTCGCCCGCCTCTCTCACACCATGGGGGCGGGCGGCGAGCTGGTGCGCAGTGATGATGATGACGACGAGGAGGAGGGGGAGGGGGAGGGGGAGGGGTTAGAGCATGACCTGCCGCTGATCAGCAGCGTGCACTACAAGTGAGCTGCTCCCTGTACTTCATTGTTGCTCCCTGTGTTTCATTGTTGCTCCCTGTGTTTCATTGTTGCTCCCTGTGTTTCATTGTTGCTCCCTGTGTTTCATTGTTGCTCCCTGTGTTTCATTGTTGCTCCCTGTGTTTCATTGTTGCTCCCTGTGCTTCATTGTTGCTCCCTGTGTTTCATTGTTGCTCCCTGTGTTTCATTGTTGCTCCCTGTGTTTCATTGTTGCTCCCTGTGTTTCATTGTTGCTCCCTATGTTTCATTGTTGCTCCCTGTGTTTCATTGTTGCTCCCTGTGTTTCATTGTTGCTCCCTGTGTTTCATTGTTGCTCCCTGTGTTTCATTGTTGCTCCCTGTGTTTCATTGTTGCTCCCTGTGTTTCATTGTTGCTCCCTGTGTTTCATTGTTGCTCCCTGTGTTTCATTGTTGCTCCCTCGCTCCACTCCACCATACCTGTTTGAGTGACCTTGTCTTTTCGTTCAAGCATGGTTGGTGGGAGTCTCACTCTGCTCTGACCACCTGCCATGAATCATGCCTGGGAATGAGTTTCGCTGCTGTGCTACTACCCCGTGCCCTCCCTGCCATTCCTCATCCTCCCTGTGCTGCGTCTCACATGTGTGCCGCGCCGTGCATGCATACCCCATCTTCCCCCGTGCAGCTACACGGTGCATGTGATGGAGATGGGCGAGCGCGTGGCGTCCGTGTTCGAAGCAGCAGTGCGCACACTCTCCCGCCCCGACGACCCCACCGCTGCTGCCGCCTCCCACGACGACGACGACGACCCCGCCGACTCGCCCCCGCACCCCCACCACCCCTCCTCCGCATCATCATCCGGGACGGGCGGCGCGGGGCAGCAGCATTGGTACCAGGTGGACATGGGCGCCATGGCGCATGTGGTGGACAGCCTGGTGGACTCGCTGCAGCTCGATGCCTCCGCCTACAATGTGATTGTGCTCAACCTCAACCGCGCACGCGCTCGCAAGCGATACGGGTACAGGTGAGCCCGTGGTGTGGGGTGGCATGATATAGGGATTGCCCTTCGTGTTTGACCTCCTCATGGTTTTGACTCTGAACCGCTCCTCTCGCCCCTTCACCCGATACCACCCCGCTCGCCCCTCCCCTGCGTATGACCTTGTTGCAGGCTCGGCCTGTCAAATGCGGAGTTCAACATGCTTAAGTCGGTATGCGCCATACATACACCGTGCAGCAGGCACCATGCACCATGCCCCATGCCCCATGCACCATGCCCCATGCCCCATGCACCATGCTCCATGCACCATGCACCATGCCCCATGCACCATGCCATGCCCCATGCCCCATGCACCATGCTCCATGCACCATGCCCCATGCACCATGCACCATGCACCATGCACCAGGCACCATGCACCATGCACCATGCCCCGTGTCCCATGCACCATGCCCCATGCCCCATGCACCATGCACCATGCACCATGCCCCATGCACCATGCACCATGCCCCATGCCCCATGCCCCATGCCCCATGCCCCATGCCCCATGCCCCATGCACCGTGCACCATGCCCCATGCCCCATGCCCTGTGCACCATACCCCATGCCCCGTGCCCCATGCCCCATGCCCCGTGCACCATGCACCATGCACCATACACCATGCACCATGCGCCATGCACCATGCCCCATGCCCCATGCACCATGCCCCATGCATGCCTCGTGCACCATGCCCCATGCCCCGTGCCCCGTGCACCATGCCCCATGCCACATGCCCCGTGCACCATGCCCCATGCCCCATGCCCCGTGCACCATGCCCCATGCCCCGTGCACCATGCCCCATGCCCCATGCCCCGTGCACCATGCCCCATGCCCCATGCCCCGTGCACCATGACCCATGCCCCGTGCCCCATGCCCCGTGCACCATGCCCCATGCCCCATGCCCCGTGCACCATGCCCCATGCCCCATGCCCCATGCCCCGTGCACCATGCCCCATGCCCCGTGCACCGTGCCCCATGCCCTGTGCACCATGCACCATCAATCAACATGCATCTCACCCACCCATGCATCAGCAATCAGCCCTCTCCTTGCATCCCCCACCCCACCGCGCATCATCCCTCGCCCCAAGCCTGGCAATGCCCTCTGTGCCTTCCCGTTCCAACCCACCCTCAGCACTCCCTTCATTCCTTCCTCATACCACGGCACACCCCTGCCCCCCCGCCCCTCTGCCTCCCGTCCATCTGCCCTTTCCCCCGCTCCCTGCGCCTCTGTGCTTCCTGCTATCCTGGCGGCA